CTCGACTTCAACAACGTCCGCAAGCGCATGTCCGTCATCGGTGAGGAAGGGGCCCCCAAAGGGCATCTAGCCCAGCCCCCTTCAGCCAGGCAGGAAGGCACTGTCAAAGCCCTCCCGACAGATGGCCATCCATCATCCAGACAAAGAGACTCCACTGAAAGGGACCTCCAAAGGCAACAGTTACATATGCAAAGCACAAAGCCAATTGGGCTATACCCAGGAAGCTAGCTGAGCCTGGGAATTTTGGCAACAGTTACATATGCAAAGCACAAAACAGATTGGTTTGGCTACGCCCGGGAAACTAGCCAAGCCTGGGAATTTTGGCAACAGTTACATATGCAAAGCACAAAACAGATTGGTTTGGCTACGCCCGGGAAACTTGCCGAGCCTGGGAATTTTGGCAACAGTTACATATGCAAAGCACAAAACAAATTGGTTGGGCTATGCCCGGGAAGCTAGCCGTGCCTGGGAATTTTGGCAACAGTTACATATGCAAAGCACAAAACAGATTGGTTGGGCTATGCCCGAGAAGCTAGCTGAGCCCAGGAGTTTTGGCAACAGTTACATATTTAGGTTTAAGCTGTGCAGGGGTAGACAGAGAGATGGTTCTTGCTTCCTGAGCTGCTGGAAGAAGTCCTTTGAGAGAGATTCAAGTGGTCTTCCACTGAAAGGGACCCCCAAAAGGCTTCCAGTCCACCCCCTTCAGCCGGGCAGGAAGGCACAGTCAAAGCCCTCCCAACAGACGGCCATCCAGCCTCAGTTCCAAAACCTTCAGAGAAGGGAGACTCCACTGGAAGAGGGACCCCCAAAGGGCATCCAGTCCAGCCCCCTTCAGCCAGGCAGGAAAAGCACAGTCGAAGCCCTCCCAACAGATGACCGTCCAGTCTCCAGAGAAGGCAACTCCACTGAAAGGGACTCTCAGAGGGCATCTAGTCCATCCCCCTTCAGCTGGGCAGGAAGACACCATCAAAGCCCTCCCAACAGATGGCCATCTAGCATCCAGAGAAAGGGACTCCACTGAAAGGGACCCCCAAAGGGCATCTAGTCCATCCCCCTTCAGCCAGGCAGGAGAAACACGATCAAAGCCCTCCAAACAGATGGCCATCCAACCTCCAGTGAAGGAGACTCCACTGGAATGTCTATGCTTTGCTAGAGTTCGAAGGGACCCCCAAAGGGCATCTAGTCCAGCCCCCTTCAGCCAGGCAGGAAAAGCACAGTCAAAGCCCTCCCAACAGATGGCCATCCAGCCTCTAGAGAAAGAGACTTCACTAGACTGTCTATGCTTTGCTAGAGTTGGAAGGGACCCCCAAAGGGCATCTAGTCCAGCTCCCTTCAGCCAGGCAGGAAAAGCACAGTCAAAGTCCTCCCAACAGATGGCCGTTCACCTCCAGAAAAGGAGACTCCACTGGACTGTCTATGCTTTGCTAGAGTTCGAAGGGACCCTCAAAGGGCATCTAGTCCACCCCACTTCAGCCAGGCAGGAAGACACTGTCAAAGCCCTCCCAACAGATGACCCTCCAGTCTCCAGAGAAGGCAACTCCACTGAAAGGGACCCCCAAAGGGCATCTAGTCCATCCCCCTTCAGCCAGGCAGGAGAAACACAATCAAAGCCGTCCAGACAGATGGCTGTCCAGCTTCCGACACAAGAATTAATTGCAACCCATAAGAAAAGGGGAAAAAAAATCCAAACCTCATTTAAACAGTAAAGATTATACAAAACTTATATCTATAATGCATAGATAGATAGATAGATAGATAGATAGATAGATAGATAGATAGATAGATAGATAGATAGATAGTGTGAAACTCTTAGAAAGGGTTGGTTGAACCCCTGGCTTGTTAGCAAAGCAGAACGGCTGTGTTGCGGTCTCGAAAGTCAGGCCGGATGGTGTTGACCTGGAACCATCCGTGGCGCACCTTGGTGCTGCAGTGGGGCTGGGAAAAGTGCAAAGGGTGGGTCCCGTGGCTGGGCAGACCGACACCTTCCTCCCTGGTCATTGCCTCTCCTTTCTCCCTTCTTCTCCTCCTCTCCCTCTTTCCAGTGCGGAACCACGAGGGCCAGATCCGCCTCTACTGCAAGGGCGCCGACACCATTTTGCTGGAGAGGCTCCACCCGGGGAACCAGGAGCTCTACAACGTCACCACCGACCACCTGAATGTGAGTCCAGGGCCGCAAGGGCCCACCACCCCATATAATTATAATTGTAATGCAATATAATTATAATGTAATTATAATTATAATGTAATATTATTATTATTATTATTTAATAATAATAATTTTTATTATTATAATTTAATAATAATTTATTTATTTGTTGTGTCTGGTTGCTGATGACACGATAAATAAATAAATAACAATAATAAAATTATTAGTATTATAATTACATATTATTATTATTATTATTTAATGTAATCTAATTATAATGTAATATTATATTATTATAATTTAATAATAATAATTTATAATTTATTATTATTATAATTTAATAATATTTATTTATTTATTTGTTGTGTCTGGTTGCTGATGACTTGATAAATAAATAAATTATTATTAAATTATTATTATTATTATTATTATTATTATTATTATTATTATTATTATATCATAATCATTAGGTGAAGCCTTCAAGGCCATTCCCTTTGCTGCCCTCTTGTGGACACAGGAAGATTGCCACTTGCCTTGAAATTCTGATTTGTAATCCTTTGCTGCCATCCAGTGGCCAGGGAGGGAAGTGCGCCCTTGAGCCGTGGAGGGCGCCTCTCTGCTGCCATCACGTGGACATTGTGCAAAACAGCATTTACAAAGTTTAATAAACTTTTCCTTTGCTTTCATGATAAAACCCATTAGGAAATGACACTTCTGACCCAGGAACAAAAACCGTGTTACAGAGTGTAATATATTATAATAATATAATATAATATAATATAATATAATATAATATAATATAATATAATATAATAATACAATATAATTATAATGTGCAATAGCAGGATGTTTTTTCCTGCAGAAACAAAGTGTTTGCAGTTGAATACACTTTCCCCATGTTTTCCTGTCAATTAGGAAAATACATTGATTACACTCTGATCACAAGTTGTGTGGCCAGAGTGTAATATATAAATATAATATATCAATAATAATATATCGATAATATTGATAATAATAATATTATTATAATAGTATATAAAATAATACCTACATAATATCTACATTATATAATATTAATGCTATAAAATATATAAATATATAATATATAAATATTAATAGTATATAAAATAATATACTATTAAAATAATATCTAAATAATATATACACATATATATATATTATTTAGATATTATATATATATATAATATAATATCTAAATAATATATATATAATATCAATAATATATAATATATAAATAATAATAGTAATAATAGTAGTACATAAATATCTAAATAATATATACATAATATTAACAATATATAATGTGTGGCCAGAGTGTAATATATAAATATATCAATAATAATATATCGGTAATATTGATGATGATGATGATGATGATGATAATAATAATAATAATAATAATAATAGTATATAAAATAATACCTACATAATATCTACATTATGTAATATTAATGCTATATAATATATAAATATTAATAGTATATAAAATAATATATTATTAAAATAATATCTACATTTTATATATATATATATATATATATGTAATATGTATAATAATATCTAAATAATATATATAATATCAACAATATATAATATATAAATAATAGTACATAAAATATCTAAATAATATATATATATATATATATATATATATAATATTAATAATATATAATACATAATAATAGTAATATAAGATACCCATTGCAAAACTTGAGCAAAATGTGTTCTAGCAGGATAAAGCTTTTGCAGTTGAATAAACTTTTCCGGTGTTTATACGATAGGACCAATTAGAAAACGATATTGATAACACAGGAACAAAAATAAGATGGATGGATAGATAGATAGAATAGGGAGGTATGTATGTAGGTAATTGGATCAAAAGATCGATAGGTAGGTATAGATTACAGATATGTTGCAAAGTGATAGTTGAGTCAATGGGGAAAGTCCGTTTGGGTTTGGCTCTGAATGGGGATATTCTTTGCTGCAGGGCATTGGGGATGAGGGGCTTTTTCAGGGGGAGGACTACATTTCCCAGCGTCCCCCAATGCAAGTCCTTCTCATTTCCGTCCTCTCCCAGGAATATGCCGGGGAGGGTCTCCGGACGCTGGTGCTGGCCTTCCGCGACCTGGAGGAGGGCTATTACTCCGAGTGGGCCAAGCGCCTGCAACGGGCCAGCGCGTCCAGCGAAGGGCGCGAGGAGAGGCTGGCCCAGCTCTACGAGGAAGTGGAGAACGAGATGGTGGTAGGCATTGAGGAACCATAGTGCCACCCAGCCCAACCCTTGGGGGCCTTACCGGACGTACGACTCCCAAACCACATTGACGCCCCAGTGCGGACACCCCCCTTTGTCTCGTTTCCCTCTCCAGCTGTTGGGCGCCACGGCCATCGAAGACAAGCTGCAGCAGGGCGTCCCGGAGACCATTGCACTGCTGACGCTGGCCAACATCAAGATCTGGGTCCTGACGGGGGACAAGCAAGGTGGGCCTCCCTCCCTGTTGCCAAAATTCCCAGGCTCAGCTAGCTTCCCAGGCAGAGCCCAACCAATCTGTTTTGTGCTTTGCATATGTAACTGTTGCCAAAATTCCCAGGCTCAGCTAGCTTCCCAGGCATAGTCCAACCAATCTGTTTTGTGCTTTGCATATGTAACTGTTGCCAAAATTCTCAGGCTCGGCTAGCTTCCCAGGCATAGCCCAACCAATATGTTTTGTGCTTTGCATATGTGAGTGTTGCCAAAACTCCCAGGCTCAGCTAGTTTCCCAGGCATAGCCCAACCAATTGGCTTTTGCTTTGCATATGTAACTGTTGCCAAAATTCCCAGGCTCAGCTAGCTTCCCCGGGCATAGCCCAACCAATTGGCTTTTGCTTTGCATATGTAACTGTTGCCAAAATTCCCAGGCTCAGCTAGCTTCCCCGGGCATAGCCCACCCAATCTGTTTTGTGCTTTGCATATGTAAGTGTTGCCAAAACTCCCAGGCTCAGCTAGTTTCCCAGGCATAGCCCAACCAATTGGCTTTTACTTTGCATATGTAACTGTTGCCAAAACTCCCAGGCTCGGCTAGCTTCCCCAGGCATAGCCCAACCAATATGTTTTGTGCTTTGCATATATAACGGTTGCCAAAATTCCCAGGCTCAGCTAGCTTCCTGGCCATAGCCCAACCAATCAGCTTTGTGCTTTGTATTTTCAGTTAGTTAACACACTCACCAGCTGATATTTACAAGCTCTAGCACTCTCTTGGTCGTTTTGCCCCTGTCACTCCCATTGGCCCCTTGACCAGGATGATGGGAGTTGCAGTCTGGCCTCATTGGGACCCTGAGCTTTGCCTCTCTTTCCTTCCGCAGAGACGGCGGTCAACATCGGCTACTCCTGCAAGATGCTGACGGACGAAATGGCCGAGGTCTTCGTCATCACTGGCCACACCGTCCTGGAAGTGCGGCAGGAGCTGCGGTAAATATCCACCAGTGTTCATGCATGGCAATTAGGTTTCCCAGTTGTTACACTGATATACCTCGATATCTCTTTGAACTGTTAGGGACAAAGATATGCCATGAGGTTTCCCATTTGCCCCCAAAGGGTTCCAATCTCGGGCTGCGTAGGTCTCCCCGGATCCCAAGGAGAGGCTGACGTTTTGCCGTTCTTTTCCTGCAGGAAGGCCAGGGAGAAGCTGATGGACTCCTCCTCGCGCAGCCTGGGCAACGGCTTTGTCTTCCAGGAAAAGCTCTCCGCCTCGAAGCTGACCTCCGTCCTGGAAGCCGTGGCCGGAGAGTACGCCCTGGTCATCAACGGCCACAGCCTGGTAAGCAGCGGGCAAGGGTCACGGAATATGGCCGTCCTTGGGCGAATGCCCACTTTCCCCTTAAGTTGCCCAACAGTAGAAAATGGCGTGACCGTAGCATTCGACTGGGCCTCAAGAGGTCATCTAGCCTGGCCATCGGGGACGGGGCCAACAATGTCAGCATGATCAAGAGTGAGCCTGAAGTGCTGATAAGCCCTTTAGCTTACTTGAGGTAACTTATGAAAGAATGTGATGGTATTAGACCTCAGGCTTGTGTTTCTGAGGTACCCTTTCAAAGATAGTTCTTTAAAACATACGCTGCCACCATAAAGTTCTTCAATACTGCAGGGATCTGCTTTTAAAACCTTTAAGCATAGAGGCACACTTGAGGCAGATGTAATGAACACTAAACAATAATGTTTATTTAAAAGAACGGGAACAATTCAGGTACAAAGCTTGGCTGTTTCAGAGATTTGTTTTGAAAGCGTGTGGTTACATAAACAGTTCTGACTTAGTTACACAAGGAACACTTCTTTCTCCCTCCACACAAGAATACTGACAGGATAGTTTCCCTGACAGTAATTCCTAAAGCAGCACAGATAGTCCTCACCTGGATCTGTAAAAATAAATACTGTAAAAATAAATAAGTAAATAAATTTGTTTTAGTAATAGAATTTTTAGTAGATAGAATGAAGAATAGTACCTGAATAGAGGGGCATAAAATAGGCAAAGAGGAGGTAAAAGTAAACCTCTTTGCAGACGATATCATGGTGGCTTATTTGTGTCACGAATATAAATTGTAGTAGGTACGAGTGAGGAATAGTACACAAATAGAGGGGTATAAAATACGCGAAGAGGAGGTAAAAGTCAACCTGTTTGCAGATGATAGTGTGGTGGATTATTTGTGTTAGGAATATAAATTGTAGTAGATACGAGTGAGGAATCGTACACAAAGAGAGGGTTATAGAATAGGCATAGAGGAGGTAAAAGTAAACCTGTTTGCAGATGATATCATGGTGGTCTCCCTGCTTGGTACCTTGTTTGGGGGACAGAATATAAATATTATATAAAAAAATATTATATTTTAGGAATATAAATTGTAGTAGATAGAGTGAGGAATCGTACACAAAGAGAGGGGTATAAAATACGCAAAGAGGAGGTAAAAGTAAACCTATTTGCAGATTATAGTATGGCGGCTTATTTGTGCTAGGAATATAAATTCTAGTTGATATGAGTACACAAATACAGGGATATAAAATAGGGAAAAAGGAGGTAAACATAAAACTATTTGCAAATGATATCATGATGGATTATTTGTTTTAGTAGATAGAATGAGGAATAGTACTTCTCCCCTGCAGAAGGCCCAGGGAGGGGTGAACCTCTCCCAACTGTGCCCGCCAGGGTACTCCGTTCAGCACCAGCCGAGACCCGGAGGGCGGGGAGGAGGAGTGGCAGTCGTCTATAAGGTTTGCATTCCCCTGATCAGGTGCCCCATCCCACAATCATCGTCATTTGAGTGTGCCGGCTTTAGGTTAGGTGACCGGGACAGGATAGGGATTCTGTTAGTGTACCGACCACCCCGCTGCACGACAGTCTCCCTACCTGAGCTAGCAGGAGTGGTCTCGGACATGGCGTTGAGCTCCCAGCGGCTTTTGGTCCTGGGAGATTTCAATGTTCATGCCGAGACCTCTCTTTCAGGAGCGGCTCAGGACTTTATGGCCGCCATGACAACCATGGGCCTGTCCCAATTAGTATCTGGTCCCACCCATACTGCCGGACACACACTGGATTTGGTCTTCTCTCAGGGATGGGGTGAAAGTGTCGGGGTGGAGGAGCTGACCATCGCTCCATTGTCATGGACCGATCACCACCTGATTAGGTTTAGACTGACTGTACTTTCTAACCTCCGCAGGGGTGGTGGACCCATTAGAATGGTCCGCCCCAGGAGACTGATGGATCCAAATGGCTTCCTGACGGCTCTTGGGGAATTTCCCACCTCCCTGGCTGGCGATTCGGTCGATGCCTTGGTCTCTCATTGGAACACCGAGATGACTAGGGCAATTGACACAATCGCTCCGGAACGCCCCCTCTCGAGTAACCGAGCCAACCCAGCCTCTTGGTTTACTGAGGAGCTGGCGGCAATGAAGTGAAAGAAGAGGCGGCTAGAGCGCGTGTGGCGGAAGAATCCGACTAAATCAGCCCAAACACATCTGAATGCCTTTCTAAGGTCCTACGGTGTGGCAATAGAGGCAGCGCAAAAAACATCCTTTGCCGCCAATATTGCATCTGCGAAGAATCGTCCAGCTGAGCTCTTTCGAGTTGTCAGGGGTCTGTTAAATCCGCCAAAAAGCGAGATCCCTGACAGCTCGGGAGCTCGCTGTGAAACGTTTGCTCGATTTTTCGCAGATAAAATTGGGCGGATCCGGTCGGATTTCGACACCACTTTATCTGCAGTCTCTGAGGATGTAACGAGAGCATCTGCTTGTCAGGTTTTATTGGATTCCTTTCAATTGGTTCAGCTTGAGGATGTGGACAGGATCCTTGGAGAGGTGCGACCTACCACATGCATCCTAGACCCCTGTCCATCCTGGCTGATAAAAGAAGCCAGAGGGGGTTTGGCAGAGTGGGTGAAGGTGGTGGTTAATGCCTCCTTGCAGGAGGGCAAGATTCCAGCGAGCTTAAAGCAAGCTATTATCAAACCGCTGTTGAAGAAACCATCACTGGACCCCACTCAATTAGACAACTATCGGCCAGTTTCCAATCTCCCCTATTTGGGCAAAGTCATGGAACGTGTGGTGGCAGCACAACTCCAGGGATTTCTGGTAGACACTGATTATCTTGATCCGGCACAGTCTGGCTTTAGACCGGGACATGGAACGGAAACAGCCTTGGTCGCCTTGGTAGATGATCTTCGCAGGGAGCTAGACAGGGGGAGTGTGTCCCTGTTAGTTCTGCTGGACCTCTCAGCGGCCTTCGATACCGTCGATCACGGTATCCTTCTGGGACGCCTCACAGATATGGGACTTGGGGGTACTGCTTTGCAGTGGCTCCGGTCCTTTCTGGAGGGTCGGTCCCAGAAGGTGTTATTGGGTGACACCTGTTCGGCCCCACAGCCATTGTCATGTGGAGTCCCTCAGGGATCAATTCTGTCCCCGATGTTGTTTAACATCTACATGAAGCCGTTGGGAGAGATCATTCGGAGTTTCGGGCTGCGATGTTATCTCTATGCAGATGATGTCCAGATCTGTCACTCCTTTCCTCCTGTCACCAAGGAGGCTGTCCAGACCTTGAACCGGTGTCTAGCTGCTGTGTCGGACTGGATGAGAGCTAACAAATTGAAATTGAATCCAGACAAGACAGAGGTCCTACTGGTCAGTCGTAAGGCCGAACAGGGTATAGGGTTACAGCCTGTACTGGATGGGGTTACACTCCCCCTGAAGTCGCAGGTTCGCAGCTTGGGAGTGATCCTGGATTCACCGCTGAGCCTGGAACCCCAGGTCTCGGCGGTGGCCGGGAGAGCTTTTGCACAATTAAAACTTGTGCACCAGTTGCGCCCGTACCTTGGGAAGTCGGATCTGGCCACGGTGGTCCACGCTCTTGTTACATCCCGAATAGACTACTGCAACGCTCTCTACGTGGGGTTGCCCTTGAAGACTGTTCGGAAACTTCAACTAGTCCAGCGAGCGGCAGCCAGATTGCTCACCGGGGCGACATACAGGGAGCATACCACCCCCCTGCTATGCCAGCTCCACTGGCTGCCGGTTCAGTTCCGAGCACAATTCAAGGTGCTGGTCTTGACCTATAAAACCCTGTACGGTTCCGGTCCACTGTATCTGTCCGAACGCATCTCCCGCTACGTCCCACCTCGGAGCTTGAGATCATCTGTGGAGGTCCTGCTCTCGACCCCACCACTCTCACAAATGAGGCTGGTGGGGACGAGGAGCAGGGCTTTCTCAGTGGTGGCCCCTCACCTGTGGAACTCACTCCCCGGGGAAATCAGAGCATCACCATCCCTCCTCTCCTTCAGGAGGAGGGTGAAAACTTGGTTATGGGACCAGGCCTTTGGGCCACCAGGCAATTAAAAACTAGCAGGATGGACGAAATGGTATTAAAAAACGAACCTATGAGATAGCAAACACTGACAATGTAAGGGAGGAATCTAGGTTTGTATGATTTTATTGATTTTTATTGATTTTATTGGTTTAATGCATGAAGATGTTAGTAATTGTGAATTTTACTGTAAGTTGTGATGATTGCTGTGATGCTGGCATCTAATCGTGCCTTTACTGTGTAAGCCGCCCTGGGTCCCCTTCGGGGTGAGAAGGGCGGGGTAGAAGAACCCCAAATAAATAAATAAATAAATAAATAAATACATGAATAGAGAGGCACAAAATAGATGAAGAGGAGGTAAAAGTCAACCTCTTTGCAGACGATATCATGGTAGCATTTCCCGTCCCCGAAGGGTGACTCCCTTGTGTTCCCCTCTCGGCACAGGCGCACGCGCTGGAGGCGGACATGGAGCTGGAGTTCCTGGAGACGGCCTGCGCCTGCAAAGCGGTCATCTGCTGCCGGGTGACCCCCCTGCAGAAGGCCCAGGTGGTGGAGCTGGTCAAGAAGCACAAGAAGGCCGTCACCCTGGCCATCGGGGACGGGGCCAACGACGTCAGCATGATCAAGAGTGAGCCTGACATTAACCAGAGATGCTACCGGAGCATACAGCCCGGAAGCCTCACAGCACCCCAATGATGATGATGATGATGGTACTGATGATCCTCCTTCCGTGTCCTCTTTCCCCTCCAGCGGCCCACATCGGGGTGGGCATCAGCGGGCAGGAGGGCATCCAGGCGGTGCTGGCCTCGGACTACTCCTTCTCCCAGTTCAAGTTCCTGCAGCGGCTGCTCCTGGTCCACGGGCGCTGGTCCTACCTGCGCATGTGCAAGTTCCTCTGCTACTTCTTCTACAAGAACTTCGCCTTCACCATGGTGCACTTCTGGTTCGGGTTCTTCTGCGGGTTCTCCGCTCAGGTGAGGAACCACCCGGGCCACCCAGTGCTCTCTGCTCCGGCACTCGGCTGCCCCTTCCTCTGCAACGGCTCGGTGCAGGAGTTGTAGTTTCCCAAGGTCTTTAGCTTTCTTGGACTGCAGCTCCCAGGCTTCCATCACATGGAACTGTGTCAGCTCAAGCATCAATGCAATTCCTTGGGCAGGCCTTGCAAACTACAACTCCCAGGGTCCCATAGCATGGAGCCATGGCAGTTGCAATTCCTTGGGCAGACCTTGCAAACTCCTAGGATCCCATAGCATTGAGGGCACCCCCTTCCCTGGATTGCACGCCTCCAATAGAGCTAAAATAAGGAGTGGGACTTTGGGGGGGGTATCTTTTTGGGGGTCTCCCCTTTTCCTCTGTGGGAATAATCTCTCTCCCTCCCTCCCTCCCTCCTGCAGACCGTCTACGACCAGTACTTCATCACGCTCTACAACATCGTGTACACCTCGCTACCTGTGCTTGCCATGGGGGTCTTTGACCAGGTTGGTCCCTGCCGGGGGTCCTGGGCCTCCTGATGTTCCTTTAATGCTCGTTGTGTGGGCATGCTCGGGGCGCCTTGGGGAGCCCCCCCCCCAGAACCCCCCTTTGGCAAAGCCCTGTGGGGTGGGGGTCAGGCTGGGTTCAGGCCCACCACCGTTATCTCCTTCTTGCAGGACGTGCCCGAGCAGCGCAGCCTGGAGTACCCTAAGCTCTACGAGCCGGGCCAGCTGAACCTGCTCTTCAACAAGCGGGAGTTCTTCATCTGCATCGCGCAGGGCATCTTCACCTCCGTCTTCATGTTCTTCCTCCCGTACGGGGTCTTCAGCGACGATGCCCTCCTGGCCGACTACCAGTCCTTCGCCGTCACCGTGGCCACCGCCCTGGTCATTGTGGTCAGCGTGCAGGTGGGCCCCACACCGCTCCCGAGGGGGGAAACGTCATTAATGGCACCAGGCACAGGGTTCAGTCCAGCCAATGATCATAATGTGTTGCTGAAGACTTCCAACGGCCAGAATCACAGGGTTGCTGTGGGTTTTCTGGGCTGTCTGGCCAATGTGTTCCAGCAGCATTCTCTTCTGATGTTTCGCCTGCATCTGTGGCTGGTATCTTCAGAGGTTTGTTCAGAGGTCTGTTGGAAGTGAAGCAAGTGGAGCGTATATATACTTGTGGAATAATATCCAGGGAGGAGGAAAGTGACCATACAGCCTGAAAAACTCACAGCAACCCAATAATAATAATAATAATAATAATAATAATAATAATAATAATAATAAAAATAATAATAATACATACTGTGTTTTTGTGTCGGTAAAATAATAATAATAATAGTAATAATAATAATAATATAAACCCAGGAAAAGCACAATCAAAGCATCCCCAACAGACTGCCACCCAGCCTTTGCAATAATAATAATAATAATAATAATATACATATTGTGTTTTGTGTCAGTAAAATAATAATAATAATAAAATAATAATAATAATAATAATAGTAGAGCACATAAGCCATCCAGTCCAACCCTCTTTATTCTGCCTCGCAGGAAAAGCACAATCAAAGCATCCCCAACAGACGGCCACCTAGCCTTTGCAATAATAATAATAATAATAATAATAATAGGAGCAAGCCCAGGATACTATAGAGTCTGGTGGAATCCCCTTCTACGAATAGTTTGAAGCAGAGGCTGGATGGCCCTCTGTTGGGAAGGCTTTGATTGTGTCTCCCTGCCTGGCCAAAAGGGGTCGGACTGGATGCCCTTTGGGGGATCCGTTCCAACTCTAATTGGCGCCTGGTGGAGTCTCCTTCCTTCTCTGGAGACCATCTGTTGGGTGGGGGCTGGACTGGATGGCCTCCAGGTGCCCCTTCCCACACTGTGGATCTCAGTTCTCTTATGGCTGACCCGGCTGACGCACACCCCACCCTTTCCCTGCCAGATCGGGCTGGACACGGGCTTCTGGACGGCCATCAACCACTTCTTCATCTGGGGCAGCCTGGCCGCCTACTTCGCCATCCTCTTCGCCATGCACAGCGACGGACTCTTCCAGCTCTTCCCCAACCAGTTCCGCTTCGTGGGTGAGTCCTCTTCCCTGGGCAAGTGTCTTCCAATTTGGAAGCATTCCCCAACCTGGCATTGGCTTCAGGGAGAATCATTTGACCCAGGGACATAGGAGGATTTCCCTACTCGTATTGCATTACGAGAGAATTATTGCTCTCCATTGCCCCTTCCCTCTTTTCCCAGGCAATGCCCAGAACACGCTGGCCCAGCCGGCCGTCTGGCTGACCATCGCACTGACCACCGTGGTCTGCATCGTGCCGGTGGTGGCCGTCCGCTTCCTCAAGCTGGACCTCAAACCCGAGCTTTCTGATACGGTGAGTTGGTTTGACAAATTGCAGTCTTATCTATCAGGAGCTGAAGGTAGGCATCTCTTAGGTCTACCACTATCAACTTTCTATTTATCAAGACCTGAAAGTAGGCCTCTCTTAAGTCTATCACTCTACTATCTGCCTGTCTGTCTATCAGGACCTGAAGGTAGGCCTCTCTTAGATCTATCACTCTATTATCTATTTATCTATCTACCTACCTACCTATTGTAACCTGAAGGTAGGCGTCTTTTAAGTCACTCACCTGTCTATGTATCTATCTATCTATTGGAACCCGAAGGTAGGCCTTTCTTAGGTCTGTCACTCTATTATCTATCTATTTATCTACCTACCTACCTACCTACCTTACCTACCTACTTATTGTGACCTGAAGGTACGCCTCTCTTAGGTCTATCTATCTATCTTTCGGCCTGAAGGTAGGCCTTTCTTAGCTCTGTCACTCTATTATCTACCTACCTACCTACCTACTTACCTATTGTGACATGAAGGTAGGCCTCTTTTAGGTCAATCACTCTACTATCTATCTATCTATCTATCTATCTATCTATCTATTGGAACCTGAAGGTAGGCCTTTCTTAGATCTGTCACTCTATTTTCTACCTACTTACGTACCTACCTACCTAGCTAGCTATTGTGACATGAAGGTGGGTCTCTCTTAGATTTGTCACTCTATCATCTACCTACCTACCTATTGTAACATGAAGGTAGGCCTCTTTTAGGTCAATCACTCTATCTTTCTATCTACCTACCTACCTTCCTATTGTAACATGAAGGAAGGCCTCTCTTAGGTCTATCTATCTGTTGGGACCTGGAGGTAGGCCTCTCTTAGGTCCATCACTCTATTATCTATCTATCTATCTATCTATTGGGACCTGAAGATAGGCCTCTCTTAGGTCTATCACTATCAACTTTCTATCTATCAAGACCTGAAGGTAGGCCTCTCTTAGGTCTATCACTCTATTTATCTATGTATCTATTGTGACCTGAAGGTAAGCCTCCCTTAGATCTATCACTATCATCTATCTATATATCTATGGTAATAATAAGTTCAGGGGGATTGGTCTAGATGACCCTTGGGGTCCCTTATCTATCTATCTACCCATCTATCTATTAGGAATTGTGGGAGTCCAAGTCCAAAACACCTGGAGGGCCAAAGTTTGCCCATGCCCGCTCTAGGTGCGACCCTTCCTTGGATGCCACTTAAAATTGCGTTGGCTTTGAGCCGAATGCGTCTCCTCCTCGATCGCTTCCAAGCCAATGGAGATGAGCATTACCAATGTTGGTGTTCTCCTCTATCCCCCCCCCTTGCCCCGTTTTCCCCCCTCCGTCCCTGCAGGTGCGCTACACGCAGCTGGTGCGCAAGAAGCAGAAGGCGCAGCACCGGTGCATGGGCCGGGTGGGCCGGCCGGGGTCTCGCCGCTCGGGCTACGCCTTCTCGCACCAGGAGGGCTTCGGGGAGCTCATCATGTCCGGCAAGAACATGCGCCTCAGCTCCCTGGCCCTCTCCAGCTTCGGCGGGCGCACCAGCGCCAGCTGGATCGAGACCCTGCGCAAGAAGAAGGGCGACGGCAGTGGCGGCAGCGTCACCAGCAGCCCCAGCGGCGGAGACAAGGCCCTCAAAGTGTGAGCCTCGCGCCCAAGCGCATGGACGAACGGGCGAAGGAACACGGCCCCAGAGTGGGCCATGCAGGCGCATCACCTCCCAGGCGGATCGGGGCCCCAATACCCCTGAATGACCGCCGGAGGTGGAAAAAAGTCCGGGATCAACGTCCCGACGGAAGCCGGACCGAGGGGACTCGGAACTGTTGTGTGCAAGGGATCTTTTTTATATATATAGATATATATATATATAAACATACATATTAGAGATATACAGGCCGTCCCCGAGTTACAAACATCCGACTCACAGTTAAGGACAGGGCTGGACTGGGTGGCCTTTGGGGGTCCTGATTCTGCCTTTTCGCCGTCACCCACACTTGTCTTTTTATACATATATATATATATATCTACAGTATATATATTATCGATATCTATATTAGAGAGAGATCTATAAGGACAATCCACGTTTACACAAAGCGGAAGAGGACGCCGCCGCTGCGTTCTTCTCCTGCTGCTCGGAGGGTCGGCACAACGGCCGCGGGAAGGGAAGAGGAAACCGGGACGCTCCGGACAACCTTCCCGGCCGTGGAGCCCGAAACTCAGACCGGGCCGAGCGAAGGAGAACGACAAGAAGAAGAAGAATATATTTTTATATCTACCTGCCGGATTTGGGCTTGCGAGCTCGACCCTCCCCGACTCCCTTACAGGTCGATCGTGGCAGGATCCGGAAACTCTAGCCCTTTCCTTCCTCTCTTCCCTTTTTCTCTTCCCATCCATTCTTTCCTTCCTTCCTTCCTTCCTTCCTTCCTTCTTTCCTTCCTTCCTTCTTCCTCCTTCCTTTCCTTCCTCTTCCTTCCTTCCTTCCTCTTCTTCCTCCTTCCTTCCTTCCTTCTTTCCTTCCTTCCTTCTCCTTCCTCCTCCTCTTCTTCTTCCTTCCTTCCTTCTCCTTCTCTTCCTTCCCTTCCTTCCCTTCCTTCCTCTCCCTCCTTCCTTCCCTTCTCTTCCTTCCTTCTTCCTTCCTTCCTTCCTCTTCTTCCCTTCCTTCCTTCCCCTTTCCTTCCCTTCTCTCCTTCCTTCTTCTCCCTCTTTGCCCTCGTTGTTCTCCTGCCCTTCCTAATGTCGGCCTATGCCTGCTTTAGTAAACTTCCCGTCTCGCCCCTTCATGCCTTCCTCCTTCCTTTTCTTTCTTCCTTGCTTCAAGTTGGCCTCTAATCCCAGTCTACGTCGTCTTCCATTACTCAATCCTTCACTGTTCATCACGTTGTCCAAAAACCATCATCTGAGCCTTTCCATAATTCAGTTCCATATAAATCCATATTTAACTATTGCACTGCATTCCCAATGGCTTGTTCAAAAAGTCAGGTTTTTACTTTTCTCCGGAAGGTCAGGAGGGAAGGGGCTAATCTAATTTCCTTTGGGAGGGAGTTCTACCTTTTCTTCCCTCCTTTCCTTCCTCTTCCTCCCTCCTCCTCTTCCCTTTCCTTCCCTTCCTTCCTTCCTTCCTTCCTTCCTTCCTTCCTTCTTTCCTTCTCCCTCCCCTCCTTCTTCTCCTCCCTTCTTTCTTTCCTTCCTTCCTTTTTCCCTTCCTCTCTCCTTCCCTTCCTCCCTTTTCTTCTTCCCTTCCCTTTCCTCTTCCTCCCTCCCTCCTTTCCTTCTCTGCATCTCTCATCATCCCCATCCCCAATTGATTTCCCCACCTTCTCCAAATCAGACTTCCAACCTTCCCTTCTTCCATACATTCTGCTGGAGACGATGGGAGCTGCCGCGTCCTGAAGAGGACTACACCTCCCATCGATCCCGACCCGCTGGCCAATCTCCCCGCCGCCATTGCTGCGTCCGAAACCAAAGAGGAAAAGTCCGCGGGAGTGCCGGGGCGCGCGGGTTTCGGCTTCCCAGTTTCCCGCAGGATGTCTTACGATGCTCATTCCCATTGTTGTTGTTGTCGTTGTTGTTGTGGTTATGATTTGGGGCGTTGGGAGCGGAGAGAGCGAGCGAGCGGTCTATCCGGGCCGGGACCATTCCTTATAATTTATTCTGACACCTTTTCTTATACTTGGCAGAAAGAATTGTTATCGTTTTATGGGACATAAAGAGAAACGGCATTTTCTTACCTTTTGGCTTCCGGGTGGTCTTTTGTGTGCAGGCAAATCAAAGGGATGATTGACAGGCAGCTGCAAAGTCAATCCGTGAGGGTCTCTGCATAGAGGTCGCCTGGCTGTTGTTGCCTGGAGGCGCCCTCTATGGAATGATGCCCAGGGTGGGAGGAAGAACCCTTGTCTGTTTGAAGGAAGTGTGGATGTTGCAATTGGCAAGCTTGAATTAGCATTCAAGTTGGCAAAGTCAGTCAGTGAGGGCATCTGTATAGAGGTGGCCTGGCTGTTGTTGCCTGGAGGTGCCCTCTATGGAATGACGCCCAGGGTGGGAGGAAGAACCCTTGCCTCCTTTCAGCAAGTGTGGATGTTGCAATGAGCAAGCTTGAATAGCAATGAAGCTGCAAAGTCAATCCGTGAGGGCACCTGCATAGAGGACCTGGCTGTTGTTGCCTGGAGGCGCCCTCTATGGAATGATGCCCAGGGTGGGAGGAAGAACCCTTGTCTGTTTGAAGGAAGTGTGGATGTTGCAATTGGCAAGCTTGAATTAGCATTCAAGTTGGCAAAGTCAGTCAGTGAGGGCATCTGCATAGAGGTGGCCTGGCTGTTGTTGCCTGGAGACACCCTCTGTTTGGATTTCAGTGGCTTCTCTGTGTAATATAATATAATATGGTGTAATAATAATAATAATAATAATAATAATAATAATAGAAGGAGCCCCCTGTGCCGGCAGGACTGAAGGCGGACAGGTAAGAGGTTCGAATCCAGGGAGAGCGTGGATGAGCTCCCTCTGTCAGCTCCAGCTCCCCATGCAAAGGGGACATGAGAGAAGCCTCCCACAAGGATGGGCAAAAGCATCCAAACACTTGGACAACGTCCCCTGGGCAACGTCCTTGCAGACGGCCAATTCTCTCACACCAGAAGCGACTTGCAGTTTCTTGAGTCACTCCTGACATGAAAAAGAAAATAGTAATAATAGAATGGAATATGGTAATAATATAATACATTTATAATATAATAATAGACTATTACATGGTAGAATAAGAATATAAATAAAATATGCAGTTAATTAATAATAATAAAATAATAAGAATATAAATAAAATATGTAGCTAATAATAATAATAATAAAATAATAATAATAAGAAGAATATAAATAAAATATGCAGCTAATAAATATAATAATAATAAGATAATAATATAAATAAAAATGCAGCTAATAAATAATAAAAATAATAAATAAGAATATAAATAAAATATGCAGCTAATTAATAATAATAATAAAATAATAAGAAATAAAATATGTAGCTAATAATAATAAAATTATAAAAATAATAATAAGAATATAAATAAAATATGCAGCTTAATAATAATAATAAAAAATAATAATATAAATAAAATATGCAGCTAATAAATAATAAAATAATAATAATAAAATAAATAAAATATGCAGCTAATAAATAATAAAAATAATAAATAAGAATATAAATAAAATATGCAGCTAATAAATATAATAAATATAAATAAAATGCAGCTAATAAATAATAATAATAATATAAAAGTATGCAGCTAATAAATAATAATAAAATAATAAGAATATAAATAAAATATGCAGATAATTAATAATAATCATAATATAAATAAAATATGCAGCTAATAAATAATAATTTAATAATAATAATTAAATAAAATATGCAGCTAATAAATAGTAATAATAATAGTAATAGTAATAATAATAGTAATAATAATAATAATAAAGCAGCTCACTGTTTCCATGGCCAGGGCCTTTTTCTTAAAGCGACAGTGCTGCATGCGCCCAGGTGCACACCCAGCCCTGGCTTTTGCAAACACACAGGTGCATGCAATGGAACCCACTCAAGAAGCAGAGCATGAAGCAGAGCATGAGGCCAGGTGGAAGAGGTGAGTTGCCCATGCCGTCCATGTATTTCAGAGCCTGTTTGCATTCGCTTGTCACCGGGCTTTGGCGCATGGAGTTGGGGATATGCGCCCTTGGGTGGAGAAAGGCGCCAGGAGCCCTCCAAGAAGAGGCAGGCAGGGCTGTTCCCAGGCCTTTCCTTGGAAAGAGAAAGGAGAGACCTTGTTCCAAGTGACCCAAGCCATGAATGCATCCCAATCTGCATTAAGTTGCTAGTCCTCATGCTCCTGAATTGCATTGAGCATCATCCTTTGTGTGCAAAGGCATGCTCCGGTGCTAAGAAGCCTGCCTTTGCTGCAAAAGAAGGTCCCCGTCCTCATTGGTTTCTTTGCAAATCTATGCTCTGCTGCTAAGCTTAAAAGTAATCCAGGATTCCAGACTTTGTGGTTCTGAATAATTATTATTTATTTATTTATTATTATTTATTTCTTGCACTTATTGACCGCCACTCTCAGCCCTTAGGGCGACTCGTGGCGGTGAACAACAACATAGAAAAGACAGTTTACAGTGAATCAAGACGGTACACAACAATCTACTACTACATAACATATACTTATGCTAAAAATCCGCTTCGTCATATCCTGGGGTCATAGTCGATTTCATAGTCATAGTCCATTCCGGTCGTCAATTCCAATGATATGGCACTCAGTTGAAGGCCATCTCGAAGAGCCATGTTTTCAGGCTTCTACGAAAGGCCATAAGAGAGGGCGCCTGTCTAACTTCAGCAGGGAGGGTGTTCCACAGCCGGGGGGCCACCACCGAGAAGGCCCGCTTCTCTAGTCCCCGCCAAACGTGCCTGTGAGGCAGGCGGGACCGAGAGAAGGGCCTCCCCAGATGATCTCAAGGTCCTCGTGGGCTCATAGGCCAAGATGCGGTCCAAGGTATTTTGGGCCGGAACCGTTTAGGGCTTTGTAGGATAACACCAGCACCTTAAATTGGGCCCGGTAGCAAATCGGCAGCCAGTGGAGCTGGAACAACAAGGGCGTTGTATGCTCCCTGCGTCCCGCTCCCGTTAGCAACATGGCTGCCGCGCGCTGGACTAGCTGAAGCTTCCGGGCCGTCTTCAAGGGCAGCCCACGTAGAGAGCGTTGCAGTAGTCAAGGCGGGATGTGACCAGAGCGTGTACCACCGTGGCCAAGTCAGACTTCCCAAGGTACGGGCGCAGCTGGCGCACGAGCCTAAGCTGTGCAAATGCTCCCCTGGTCACCGCTGAAACCTGGGGATCCAGGCTCAACGATGAATCCAGGGTCACACCCAAGCTGCGAACCTGCGCCTTCAAGGGGAGTGCGACCCCATCCAGCACAGGCTGTAACCCTATACCCTGTTCGGCCTTGCGACTGACCAGGAGTACCTCTGTCTTGTCTGGATTCAATTTCAATTTGTTCCCCCTCATCCAGACCATTACAGCTGCCAAGCACCGGTTCAAAACCTTAGTAGCAGGTGGAAAGGAATGATAGAGTTGAACATCATCTGCGTACAGATGACACCACACCCCGAAACTCCGGATGATCTCACCCAGCGGCTTCATGTAGATGTTGAACAGCATGGGGGACAGTATAGAGCCCTGTGGGACCCCACAGGTCAAAGGCTGTGGTGCCGAACAGGAGTTCCCCAATAACACCTTCTGGGTGCGTCCCTCCAGAAATGACTGGAGCCACTGCAGAGCAGTGCCCCCAAGACCCATCTCTGCAAGGCGCCCCAGAAGAATACCGTGGTCGACGGTATCGAAGGCCGCTGAGAGGTCCAGGAGCACCAACAGGGACACACTCCCCCTGTCTAGCTCCCGGCGCAGATCATCCACTAAGGCGACCAAGACCTTCTCGGTACCATGTCCCGGTCTGAAACCAGACTGTGCCGGATCCAGATAATCCGTGTCTCTCAAGAATACCTGGAGTTGTGAGGCCACCACGCTTTCCATGACTTTGCCCAAGAAGGGGAGATTGGAAACAGGCCGAAAGTTGTCCAATTTAGTGGGGTCCAGTGATGGTTTCTTCAACAGCGGCTTTATAATAGCCTGTTTTAGGCTCGCTGGAATCTTGCCTTCCCGAAGGGAGGCATTAACCACCACCGTTACCCACTCAGCCAATCCCCCTCTGGCCTCCATCAGAAGCCAGGATGGGCAGGGGTCTAGGATGGACGTGGTGGGCCTCATTCCTCCGAGTATCTTGTCCACATCCTCGGGCTTCACAAACTGAAAAGAATCCATCAAAATAGGACAAGCAGGTGCTTGTGTCACATCCACAGAGACTGCATTTAATGTGGCGTCCAGCCCAGAGCGGATCAAAGCGACTTTGTCTGCAAAGAACCGAGCAAATGCTTCACAGCGCGCTGCCGAATTGTCAGGGCTCCCACCTGAGATAGGGGGAGTTAATAGACCTCTGACAATCCGAAACAGCTCCGCCGGACGGTTTTTGCAGACGCAATAGTGGCCGCAAAGAAAGTTTTCTTTGCGGCTTTTATTGCCGCGGCATATGCCCTCAGAAAGGACACAAACCGTGTTCGATTTGGCTCGCTTGGGTCCGAGCGCCACACGCTCTCTAGTACCCTCTTCCTTCGCTTCATCGCTGCCAGCTCCTCAGTGAACCAAGGAGCTGGTTTAGCTCGGTTACTTGAGAGGGGACGTTCCGGAGCGATCCTGTCAATTGCCCTGGTCATCTCCCCATTCCAGAGAGCGACCAAGGCCTCGACATGGTCACCTACCGAGGTGGCGGGAAAATCCCCAAGAGCCGTCAGGAATCCATTCGGATCCATAAGCCTCCTGGGGCGGACCATCTTAATGGGTCCTCCACCTTTGCGGAGGTTAGGGGGCGCAGTGAGCCTAAATCTGATCAGGAAGTGGTCGGTCCATGGCAACGGAGAGATAGACAACTCCTCCACACCGCCACCTGCTCCCATCCCTGGCAGAAGACCAAGTCCAATGTGTGTCCAGCACAGTGGGTGGGGCCAGTTATTCGTTGGGACAGCCCCATGGTTGCCATGGCGGACATGAAGTCCTGAGCCGCTCCTGTGAGGGTTGCCTCGGCATGGATGTTGAAGTCCCCCAGCACAAGAAGCCGTTGGGACTCCACCGCCAGGCTCGAGACCACCCCCGCTAGCTCAGGTAGGGAGACTGTAGTGCAGCGAGGTGGACGGTACACTAACAGAATCCCTATTCTGTCCCGGTCACCCACCCTCAGGTGGACGCATTCAAAATTTGTGGTCTGCGGGATGGGACTCCTGGTCAGATGGATGGAATCTCTATAGACCACTGCGACCCCGCCTCCCCGTCCTCCGGCTCTTGGTTGGTGTTGCACGGAGAAGCCTGGAGGGCAAAGCTGGGAGAGGTTTACGCCCCCAGCTTCATCCAGCCAGGTCTCCGTGATGCACGCCAGATCTGCCCGCTCCTCCAGGATTAAATCCTGGATCCAGGTCGTTTTTCCGTTGACAGATCTGGCGTTCAACAACACCACCTTCAGACCGGAGGGTCCGCTTACCTGGTAACACCAATTTACCTTAGGAGACCGGTTGGGGGTTGTCAATATGGATAAGTGGTCCGAATTAGGCCGAATTCGGGGTCTCCTTTTCTCATTATTATTATTATTATTATTATTAATTATTATTATTATTATTATTATTATTATTATGTTTATTTATATCCTGCTGTTTCTCTCCATGATAGTAATATAATAATGATATAATTAATATAATATAATAATATTAATGTAATATAACATAATAATATAATAATATAATATATAATATTATTAAATTATATAATAATAAAATTATATAATATAATAATATAATAGATAGTAATATAATATAATAATATAATAAATATAATATAATATAATAATATTAATGTAATATAATAAATAATGTAATGTGATATGTTTATAATATAATAAAGTAATAGTAATATAATAATAAATAATGGGATATAATATGTTTATAATATAATAATATTAATGCAATAGTAATATAATAATAAATAATGTAATGTAATATGTTTAGAATATAATAATATTAATGTAATTGTAATATAATAATAAATAATGGGATATAATATGTTTAGAATATAATAACATTAATGTAATTGTAATACAATAATAATGTAATATAATATGTTTATAATATAATGTTAATGTACTAGTAATATAATAATATAATAAATATAATATAATAATATAATAAATATAATATAATAATATTAATGTAATAATAATATAATAATAAATAATATAATATAATATGTTTATAATATAATATTAATGTACCAAAGGGGTCCCCATGAGGTCATCTAGTCCAGGTCTTTTGGGAAGCTGCCCTGAGACCCTCCATAAAAGAGAGGCTGGGTTAGTTATTAATTATTTGTTATTTAATATTTAATATTATTTTATTATTTATCTATCTTTTCCAAAAGGGGTCCCCATGAGGTCATCTAGTCCGAGCCCTTTGGGTAACTGCCCTGAGACCCTCCATGGAAGAGAGGGTGGGTTAAATATTTATTTATTATTTTTATTATTTATTATTTATTTAATTATTTATTACTTTTATTTATTTATTTATTATTTGTTTATTATTGATCTATCTTTTCCAAAAGGGGTCCCCATGAGGTCATCTTTGAGCCCTTTGGGAAGCTGCCCTGAAACCCTCCATGGAAGAGAGGGCGGGTTAATTATTGATTATTATTATTTAATTAATTATTATTTGTTATTTGTTATTTATTTATTATTTAATATTTATTATTTAATATTTGATTATTTGATTATTTATTATTGCTCTATCTATCTTTTCCAAAAGGGGTCCCCATGAGGTCATCTAGTCCGAGCCCTTTTTGACCCCGAGCATGGATGTGCAACCGGAGCCATGTCCTCCTCCACACCGTGCTTGGTCCCTCCACCCATTTGGGGTGTTGCAAGGAGGAAGGCCCCAAAGTGGGGGTCCCAAAGCCCTGCCCCCCTCCCCCGGTGCCCTCTTGGCCTCCCTCCCCTCCCCTCCCTCCCCGGTTGCACAACTGCTTTCCTTCCTTTCTCTCTCTCTCTCTCTCTCTCTCTCTCTCCGCCCAGTTGTGGTTTCACAAGAGATGCGCACGGGCAGGCTGAGCCTTGGCACCGGGCTCAGTTCCTCAATGCCACCGCTGCCGGCTGCGTGCCTCCTCGGGGTGTCTGTCCATGGCTCCGGCCGTGGCACTGACCCTCCTCTTGGCCGCGGCCCTCTCCATGGCCCAGCCCTGCCTCAAGACAGGTAAGACTCACCTGTGCCCTCTCCTGAGAGTCTCCTTCTTCTAGGTTGAGCCTTTGTGAGACTGCCTCACCCCGTTGCTGTTCCGGGACAATACTTCTCATTCATCCACCGATGAGTTGTGGCTCCTGGGCTATCAATGGCATGATTTCATCCTAATTGGTTCGATCCTAAAAAGTATGGATCATACCATGGAATCGACGCTCTGGAATCATGGAGGGATCCCTCAAGGCCATCCTTCTGCTCTGAAGACACCATCAAAGCCCTCCCGACAGATGGCCGTTCAGACTCTGTTAACAAGACATCTCATGGGTTATCAATGTCATTATTTATTCCTAATTGGTTCGATCCTAAAAAGTATGGATCATACCATGGAATCGACACTCTGGAATCATGGAGGGATCCCTCAAGGCCATCATTCTGCTCTGAAGACACCATCAAGGCCCTCCCGACAGATGGCCGTTCAGACTCTGTTAACAAGACATCTCATGGAATTCTAGAGTCAGAAAGGACCCCAAGGGCCATCCAGTTCAACCCCCTTTTTCCCATGAAGACACCATCCAAACCTTCCAGACAGATGGCCATCTGGCCGCTGCTTTAAAGCCTCCAGAAAATATTCTGTTGTTGTTGTTGTTGTTGAATACTAGAGTCAGAAGGGACCCCAAAGGCCATCCAGTTCGACCCCCTTTTCCCATGAAGACACCATCCAAACCTTCCAGACAGATGGTCACCTGGTCTCTGCTTAAAAGCCTCCAGAAAATATTCCATTGTTGTTGTTGTTGTTGTTGAATTCTAGAGTCAGAAGGGACCCCAAGGGCCATCCAGTCCAACCCCTTTCTGTGAAGACACCATCAAAGCCCTCCCGACAGATGGCCATTCAGACTCTGTTAACAAGATATCTCATGGAATTCTAGAGTCAGAAGGGACCCCAAGGGCCATCCAGTCCAACCCCCTTCTGCCACAAAGGAAGATGCCATCCAAACCCTCCAGACAGATGGCCATCTGGCCGCTGCTTAAAAGTCTCCAGAAAATATTCTGTTGTTATTGTTGTTGTTGTTGTTGTTGAATCCTAGAGAAAGAAGGGACCCCATGGGCCATCTAGTCCAACCCTCTTTTGCCATGGAGATGCCATCCAAACCCTCCAGACAGATGGCCATCTGGTCTCTGCTTAAAAGCCTCCAGAAACTATTCCATTGTTATTGTTGTTGTTGTTGTTGTTGAATCCTAGAGAAAGAAGGGACCCCAAGGGCCATCCAGTCCAACCCCCTTCTGCCATGAAGGAAGACACTGTCCAAACCTTCCAGACAGATGGCCATCTGACCACTGCTTAAAAGCCTGCAGAAAATATTCCGTTGTTGTTGTTGTTGAATCCCAGAGTCGGAAGGGACCCCAAGGGCCATCTAGCCCAACCCCCTTTTGCCATAAAGGAAGATGCCATCCAAACCCTCCAGATAGATGGCCATCTGGCCGCTGCTTAAAAGCCTCCAGAAAATATTCCGTTGTTGTTGTTGTTGTTGTTGTTGTTGAGTCGGAAGGAACCCCAAGAGTCATCCAGGAAAAGGGCAATCAAAGCACCCCCAACAGATGGTCGTCCAACCTAATAATAATAATAATAATAATAATAATAATAATAATAATAATAATCTCATTTGCTGTGACATACTTTTTTGTGTCAGAATAATAATAATAATAATAATAATAATAATAGAAATAGGAATGATAACAATAATAGGAATAATAATAATAATTTCGTTTGCTGTGACATACTGTGTTTTTGTGTCAGTAAAGTAATAATAATAATAATAATAGAAAAAGGAATAATAATTATAATAATAATAATAGAAATAGGAATAATAACAATAATAATAATAATAATAGAAAGAGGAATAATAACAATAATAATAATAATAATAATAATAATAGAAAGAGGAATAATAACAATAACAATAATAATAATAATAATAATAATAATAATAATAATCTCGTTTGCTGTGACATACTGTGTTTTTGTGTCAGAATAATAATAATAATAACAGGAGCAACCCCCGGGGCCATCCAGTCCAACCCCCTTTATTCTGCCATGCAGGAAAAGCACAATCAAATCACCCCCGACAGATGGCCAGTGGTGTGCATGTAGTAACTCAATGCTGTGTTTCCCAGCACAGCGCTAAGTCCTGGCTGCAAACTATAAATCCCAATGCGGCTCTGCTCCATTGTGGTTGGGGATTAAGTGGCACGTGGGCCGGGCTTGGGCACGGTCTGTCCCTGGCAGAGGGTCAAGGTGGGCCAGCGGGGGGGAAACTGTTTGCTTTGGGCTGTTGACATTTCGTTTGGAAACGCTGCAGTTTTCCTCCCGCCGCCAACCACGCAGCCGCTGACCTTTCCCCAACAACCTGTTTCCCTCGGAGGCCTCACGTGTGTTTCCTAATGTCTTGTCGCATGGAGTCATTCATAAGGGTTGGTCTAGATGACCCTTGGGGTCCCCTTGATGGTCCTAGACAAGATGGGTTGGACTAGATGACCCTTGGGGTCCCCTTGATGGACCTCAGAGGGTGATGGCTCCTCCTTTTGTGTAAGTCTTTAAACACGGGTTAGATGGGCATCTTTTGGGAGTGGTTTAGTTATGTGTTCCTGCATTGCAAGATAGGGTTGGTCTAGATGCCCTTTGGGGGTCCCATCTGACTCTAGTGCAATAATGTTGGAGGGTGGGGGGCTCTCCTACTTACGATGTCTAACAACCAGAGGCTGGATGGCCATCTTTCGAGAGTGTTTTAGTTGTGTATCCCTGCGAGGCTGAAGTGTGTTGGACTAGATGGCCTTTGGGAGCCCCCTCCCAACTTTAGTGGATTATGGGCCACTTTGGAGGGTGATTGACACACAATCGTGGAAAGCCTTTGCACAAACAACAACAATCACTTTGTTTACATCTTTTTGCAGCCGCCCCTTCCAGTGTAATAATAATAATAATAATAATAATAATAATAATATATTATTATTATTATTATTATTATTTATATAAATAATATTAATTATTGATAATAGTCCTGACTCCTTTGTTTACATCTTTTTGCAGCCGCCACTTCCAGTGTGATTGTCGCTGGGATTATATATATATATATATATAATTATTATTAATATAAATAATATTCATCATTGATAATAGTCCTGACCCCTTTGTTTACATTTTTTGCAGCCACCCCTTCCATTATGATTGTTGCTGGGATAATAATAATAATCATATATTTTATTGTTATTATTAATTATATAAATAATATTAATTATTGATAATAGTCCTGACCCCTTTGCTTACGTCTTTTTGCAGCCACCCCTTCCAACGAGATTGCCGCCCATCCAGATAGTGGGATACGATTAATAACTATTGATAACATATATTAATATATATTATTATTAATAATAATTATCTAAAATGTAATAATATTAATTATTGATCATGATCCTGATGCCTTTGCTTTCGTCGTTTTGCAGCCACCCCTTCCAAGCGGGTTGTTGCTGGTCCAGATAATGGGATACTAATAATAATAATTATAATAATAAATTATAATATTGTAAATAATTATTATATAAATAATAATATTGATCCTGATCCTGATGCCTTTCCTTTCGTCTTTTTCCAGCCACCCCTTCCAAGGGGATTGTCGCTGATCCAGATAATGGGATATTGTTATTAATAATAAATCATAATATTATTAATAATTATATATAAATAATAGTATTGATCATGGTCCTGATGTCTTTGCTTTTGCCTTTTTGTAGCCGCCCCTTCCAATGGGATTGTCGCTGGTCCAGATAATGGGATATTAATAATAAATTATAATATTATTAATAATTATTATATAAATAATATTATTGATCATGATCCTGATGCCTTTGCTTTCGTCTTTTTGCAGCCGCCCCTTCCAATGGGATTGTCGCTGGTCAAGATAATGGGATATTAATAATAATAAATTATAATAATAATATATTATAATATTATTAATAATTATTATATAAGTAGTATTATTGATCATGATCCTGATGCCTTTGCTTTCATATTTTTGCAGCTGCTCCTTCCAATAGGGTTGTCGCTAGTCCAGATAATGGGATATTAATAATAATAAATTATAATATTATTAATAATTATTATATAAATAATATTATTGATCATGATCCTGACGCCTTTGCTTTCATCTTTTTGCAGCTGCCCCTTCCAATGGGATTGTCGCTGGTCAAGATAATGGGATATTAATAATAATAAATTATAATAATAATATATTATAATATTATTAATAATTATTATATAAGTAGTATTATTGATCATGATCCTGATGCCTTTGCTTTCATATTTTTGCAGCTGCTCCTTCCAATAGGGTTGTCGCTGGTCCAGATAATGGGATATTAATAATAATAAATTATAATATTATTAATGATTATTATATAAATAATATTATTGATCTATTATTAATAATTATTATATAAATAATATTATTGATCCTGATCCTCACGCCTTTGCTTTCATCTTTTTGCAGCCACCCCTTCCAATGGGATTGTCGCTGGTCCAGATAATAATGGGATATTAATAATAATAATAAAGTATAATATCATTAATGATTATTATATAAATAATATTATTGATCTATTATTAATAATTATTATATAAATAATCTTATTGATCATGATCCTGATGCTTTTGCTTTAATCTTTTTGCAGCTGCCCCTTCCAATGAGGTTGTCGCTGGTTCAGATAATGGGATATTAATAATAATTATTATTATTATAAATTATAATATTATTAATAATTATTATATAAATAATTTTAATTATTGATCCTGATGCCTTTGCTTTCATCTTTTGGCAGCCGCCCCTCCCAAGGTGGTGGTCGCCCACCCGGACGGCAACGCCACCCTTCCTTGCCTGGACGATGGGCAGCTGGACAATGCCACCGAGGCCTACTGGACCTTTGAGGGCCGGAACGGGACGTCCACTCTGGCTGGGTCGGCCACTCCAGGCCGTGTCCTCTTCCTCCCCCGGGTGCACCTGAACCATTCTGGCTCCTACACCTGCCATGTGGGCGGGCGCCCCTCTCGCACCTGGCGCCTGGTGGTCGAAGGTGAGCCCACGCCCCAAAGGCCATCCAGTCCAGCCCAGTCTGCCATCAAAGCCCTCCCGACAGATGGCCATCCAGCCTCTGCTTCAAAGCCTCCAGAGGGAGGGACTCCGAATCTATAATCCACTATTATTAAAAGGGGTCTCCAAAGGTCATCCAGTCCAACCCCATTCTGCCATGAAGGAAGGCATCATCTAACCTTTCCCGACAGATGGCCATCTGGCCTGAGTTTAAAAGTCTCCAGAGAAAGGGACTTCTAGGTTATAATACACTATAATTAAAAGGGATCCCCAAAGGTCATCTAGTCCAACTCTATTCTGCCATGAAGGCACCACCAAAGCCCTTTCAACAGATAGCCATCCGGCTTCTGCCTCAAACCTCCAGAAAAAGGGACCTCTAGTCTATAATCCACTATGCATAGGATATACAAGGTATCCCCAAAGGTCATTCAGTCCATTCCCCTTCTGCCATGGCACCATCTAATCCCTCCCGACAGATGGCCATCCAGCCTCCGTTTAAAAGCCCCCAGAGGAGAGCCCTAGTCTGTAATCCACTATTATTAAAAGGGATCCCCAAAGTCCACCCAGTCTAACTCTGTTCTGCCATGAAGGCCACCACCAAAGCCCTCCCGACAGATGGCCATCCGGCCTGAGTTTAAAAGTCTCCAGAGAAAGGGACTCCTAGTCTATAATCCACTATAATTAAAAGGGATCCCCAAAGGTCATCGAGTCCAACCCCACCCCTTTCTGCCATGAAGGAAAACAATCAAAGCCCTCCCGACAGATGGCCATCTGGCCTTAAAAGCCTCCAGAGAAGGAGATTCCATTAGTATTATTATTGTTGACACAAAAGCACAGTATGTCACAGCAAACGAGATCAATATGCTGGATTTCGTATCACAAAATCACAAGTCGAACCCTTCCCAAGTGCCTAGGACTGTGTGATGTATTATTATTATTATTATTATTATTATTATTATTGTTATTATTATTATTATTCCATGTATTATTATTATTATTATTATTATTATTACATGTATTATTATTATTATTATTATTATTATTATAGATTTGGAAGGGTCCCCAAGGGCCATCCAGTCCAACCCCCTTCCGCCAAGCAGGAAGGCACCATCTAATCCCTCCCGGCAGATGGCCATCCAGAGTGCCTCCGCTTGACCACCTTGTCTCTTCCCACCTAACTTTAGAGCCCCCCGAGGCCCCCGACTTCTCCTGCCGCCAGAGGAGCCTCAACAACGAAATCATCTGCGAGTGGCGGGCTGCGCGCTCTACGTCTCTCCGCACCAAGGCCAAGCTGTGGGTCCAGAAAGGGTGAGCCTGGGCAGAAGGGATATGTAGTGGACGCCGTCCGTACACGATGCAGAGCGGCCGGGCGCACATGGGGTGGGCGCATGGGAGTTGTAGTTCTGCAAGCTCTAAACGTACCACTGCCGAACTACAAATCCCAGGGCTTTGTCGCATCCTTTCTCTTTGCAGCTTCTTCAGCCAAGAGCGCGTCCCGCACCCGTGCCGCTATTACGCCAAGTCGCAGAAGTTCTCCTGCCGGACGCAAGGCCTGAAGGAGAAGGAGGACCTCAAGCTCCGCCTCTCCGTCTGCCTGGCCACCCTGGCCGGAGCCGCCACCCGGCACAAGTTCTTCAACACCGAAACCCTGCGTGCGTAGTACTGTCAGAGTGAGACCCCGGGGTCTATGCGCAGCGGAGATGAGGTTACGAGATCACACAGACACAAAACAGGACACTGCAGTCGGCCAGTTTCAAAAATAACAAAAGTTTACTTAGCACATCTTAATACACGTCTACTTCCAAGCGAGCTTAATCAGGAACCACAACAGGAACGACAAAGCACAACTTGAGTACGGTTACGGAACGTCTGCTTATCAGTTTCACTTTGGCTGGAAGCCGGCGACTCCCTAATTCTTCCCAGACAGAGAGAACTTGCGATCTTACTTCTGCTGCCAAGGTCTCTTCTCTCTCTGTCTCACACAACAACAATGCCAGCATACAATTGCACATCACTGAATCCATCTTGAATACATATGAACACCATTGTTAAACATATTGAAACACATTGAAAAAAACATACATGCATACTTTCAATAATCCTGACACGTACCTGGGCGCCTTGGCCTCGGCCGCTTTGGTGTCACCGGCTATGCCGAATCGGTCAAGACATCAATGGGTTTTGGATGGGTTGGATGGCCATCTGCTGGGAGGGATTAGATGGTGTCTCCCTTCCTGGTAGAAGCAGGGATGGACTGGATGGCCTCTGAGGGCTCCTTCTTATACTAGAAACCTTTGATTCTATGGCCCTATTTCTGTGTGAACCTGCGAATGTCTCTGCGGATGGATGGCCATCTGTCGGGAGGGATTAGATGGTGTCTCCCTTCCTGGAAGAAGCAGGGATGGACTGGATGGCCTTTGGGGGACCCTTCTAACTAGGAGTCTTAGATTTTATAGCACTATTTCTGCAAGAACCTGAGAATGTCTATATTGCCACCTGTCGGGAGGGATTAGATGGTATCTAGGGTTGTATGGCCACCTGTCGGGAGGGATTAGATGGTGTCTCCCTTCCTGGTAGAAGCAGGGATGGTCTGGATGGCCTTTGGGGGACCCTTCTAACTAGGAGTCTTAGATTTTATAGCCCTATTTCTGCAAGAACCTGAGAATGTCTCTGAGGATGGATGGCCATCTGTTGGGAGGGATTAGATGGTGTCTCCCTTTCTGGTAGAAGAAGCAGGGATGGACTGGATGGCCTCTGGGGGACCGTTCCAACACTAGAAGCCTTTGATTCTATGGCCCTATTTCTGCAAGAACCTGAGAATGTCTCTGAGGCTGGATGGCCATCTGTCAGGAGGGATTAGATGGTATCTTTCTTCCTGGCAGAAATGGGGATGACCCCCGAGGATCCCTTTTTCTGCAAGAACCTGCAGAAATGGCTGGATGGGCATCTGTTGGGAGGGATTAGACACAGTCTCCCTCCCTGTAGAAGTGGGGATGGACTGGATGACCTCTGGGGACCCCTCTCACAGCTTCTATGATTCCGAATGGACCTCCCTCCCTGTGTCTCTCTCCGCAGTGAAGCCGGACCCTCCGGACAATGTGACGGTCAGTGCGGTGGAGGGCTGTCCTCGTCAGCTGAGGGTCACCTGGTCCTACCCGCGCTCCTGGGGACCCACCTTCTACCGCCTCAGCTTCCAGCTGCGCTACCGGCCCCAGGGCGCCCACAACTACTCCCAGGTAGGGACACACCATGCAATAATAATACAATACTACTAGTACTACTACTACTAATAATAATAATAATAGCAGTATTATTATTATTGCTCACCTTCAGAAGCAGGATGTATCATACTGCAATCATGCAATACTACTACTACTACTACTACTACTGCTACTATTAATAGCAGTTTTATTATTATTGCTCACCTCCAGAAGTGGAATGTGTCATCCTGCAATCATGCAATAATAATACAATACTACTACTACTACTAATAATAATAATAATAGCAGTATTATCATTATTGCTCACCTTCAGAAGTAGAATGTGTCATACTGCAGTAATGCATTAATAATGCAATACTATTAACACTACTACTACTACTAATACTACTAGTAATAATAATAGCAGTATTATCATTATTGCTCACCTTCAGAAGCAGGATATGTCATACTGCAGTAATGCATTAATAATGCAATACTATTAATACTGCTACTACTAATACTAATACTACTACTACTAGTAGTAGTAGTAGTAATAATAATAGCAGTATTATTATTATTGCTCACCAGAAGCAGGATATGTCATACTGCAATAATGCAATAATAATACAATAATACTAATACTAATAACACTATTATTATTATTATTATTATTGCTCACCTCCAGAAGTAGAATGTGTCATCCTGCAATCATGCAATAATAATACAATACGACTACTACTACTAATAATAATAATAGCAGTATTATCATTATTGCTCACCTTCAGAAGTAGAATGTGTCATACTGCAGTAATGCATTAATAATACAATACTATTAATACTACTACTAATACTACTACTAGTAGTAGTAATAATAATAATAGCAGTATTATTATTATTGCTCACCAGAAGCAGGATATGTCATACTGCAATAATGCAATAATAATACAATAATACTAATACTAATAACACTATTATTATTATTATTATTATTATTGCTCACCTCCAGAAGTAGAATGTGTCATCCTGCAATCATGCAATAATAATACAATACGACTACTACTACTAATAATAATAATAGCAGTATTATCATTATTGCTCACCTTCAGAAGTAGAATGTGTCATACTGCAGTAATGCATTAATAATACAATACTATTAATACTACTACTAATACTACTACTAGTAGTAGTAATAATAATAATAGCAGTATTATTATTATTGCTCACCAGAAGCAGGATATGTCATACTGCAATAATGCAATAATAATACAATACTACTAATACTAATAACACTATTATTATTACTATTATTATTATTATTATTACTATTACTATTATTGCTCACCTTCAGAAGTAGAATGTGTCATCCTGCAATCATGCAATAATAATACAATACTACTACTACTACTACTAATAATAATAATAATAATAGCAGTATTATCATTATTGCTCACCTTCAGAAGCAGGATATGTCATACTGCAATAATGCAATAATAATGCAATAATACTAATACTAATAACACTATTATTATTATTATTGCTCACCTTCAGAAGTAGAATGTGTCATACTGTAATAATGCAATAATGCAATAATAATACAATAATACTAATACTAATAACACTATTATTGCTATTATTGATCACCTTCAGAAGTAGAATGTGTCATCCTGCAATAATGTAACAATGCAATAATAATACAATAATAATACTAATACTAATAACACTATTATTATTGCTCACCTTCAGAAGTAGAATGTGTCATCTGCAATAATGCAATAATAATACAATACTATGACTACTACTACTAATAATGATAATAATAATAATAATAATAATAGCACTATGCACTATGTTGTTCCTGGGCTATCGATGTCGTGTCCTCCTTGGTTCAACTATCAAAACATGGGCAAAATTGATCCCACTGCAAAAGAAGAATAACAATAATGATAATATATAATAGGACAATAACAACGATAATATAGAATTGTAATAGCAGTCGCTGCAACACAATGATGTTGTCAGTACTGTTGTTTAACTTATAGTTTAAACTCTGTGTGTTTGGTGTGCAGAGGCGGCCCTAGGTAATTTTCAATTGTAAGCAAACCGTATTTTGGCGCCCCCCCCCCCCCAACCAATCATTGATATATATTTTCCGTTCGGCGTGGGAGTTCTGTGTGCCATATTTGGTTCAATTCCATCATTGGTGGAGTTCAGACTGCTCTTTGATTGTAGGTGAACTATACATCCCAGTAACTACACTTGCCGCACTTGCTCCCTTGCCTGGCCCGCTTTGGGTCCGGAGGCGTGCCTGAAGACCCCGGCGTGTGCACCAAAAGTCACCTCTTCTCCTGACTTTCTCCTCAGCCATTGGGACCGAGAGAGAGAGAGAGAGAGGTGGAGATGCCCACCTTTCCTGAAGGTAGGCACAAAAACAAAGGAGGGAGCGGAGGTGGGAGATACCTCCAGTCGGAGGGCTCTCTCTCTCTCTCTCTCTCTCTCTTGGTCCCATGGCTGAAGAGAAGAGAAGAGGAGAGAGAGAGGTGGAGATGCCCACCTTTCCTGAAGGTAGGCATAAAAATAAAGGAGAGAGCGGAGGTGTGTGCACCAAAAGTCACCTCTTCTCCTGACTTTCCCCTCAGCCATTGAGACCGAGAGAGAGAGAGAGAGAGAGAGAGAGACAGAGGTCGAGATGCACACCTTTCCTGAAGGTAGGCACAAAAACAAAGGAGGGAGCGGAGGTGGGAGATACCTCCAGCCAGAAGGGCTCTCTCTCTCTCTCTCTCTCTCTCTCTCTCTCTTGTCTGGAAGAGAGAGAGAGAGAGAGAGAGAGGTGGAGATGCCCACCTTTCCTGAAGGTAGGCGCAAAAACAAAGGAGGGAGCGGAGGTGGGAGATACCTCCAGCCGGAGGGGCTCTCTCTCTCTCTCTCTCTCTCTCTTGGTCCCAATGGCTGAAGAGAAAGTCAGGAGAAGAGGCGACTTGGTGGGTGGAGCTGCCCACCCTTCCTGAAGGTAGCGCAAAAACAAAGGAGGGAGCGGAGGTGGGAGATACCTCCAGCTGGAGATACTTCTCTCTCCTCAGCCATTTGGACGAAGAGAGAGAGAGAGAGAGAGAGAGAGGTGGAGATGCCCACCTTTCCTGAAGGTAGGCGCAAAAACAAAGGAGGGAGCGGAGGTGGGAGATACCTCCAGCCGGAGGGTCTCTCTCTCTCTCTCTCTCTCTCTCTCTCTTGGTCCCAATGGCTGAAGAGAAAGTCAGTAGAAGAGGCGACTCTTTGGTAGGTGGAGATGCCCACCTTTCCTGAAGGTAGGCACAAAAACAAAGGAGGGAGCGGAGGTGGGAGATACTCCAGCTGGAGGGTCTCTCTCTCTCTCGGTCCCAATGACTGAAGAGAAAGTCAGAGAGAGAGAGAGAGAGGTGGAGATGCCCACCTTTCCTGAAGGTAGGCGCAAAAACAAAGGAGGGAGCGGAGGTGGGAGATACCTCCAGCCGGAGGGGCTCTCTCTCTCTCTCTCTCTCTCTCTCTCTTGGTCCCAATGGCTGAAGAGAAAGTTAGGAGAAGAGGCGACTTTGGTAGGTGGAGATGCCCACCTTTCCTGAAGGTGGGCAAAAACAAAGGAGGGAGCGGAGGTGGGAGATACTCCAGCTGGAGGGTCTCTCTCTCTCTCTCTCTCTCTCTCTCTCTCTTGGTCCCAATGGCGGAAGAGAAAGTCAGGAGAAGAGAGAGAGGTGGAGATGCCCACCTTTCCTGAAGGTAGGCGCAAAAACAAAGGAGGGAGCGGAGAAGGGAGATACCTCCAGCCGGAGGGGCTCTCTCTCTCTCTCTCTCTCTCTTGTCCCAATGGCTGAAGAGAAAGTCAGAAGAAGAGGCGACTTTTGGTGCGCACGCTGGGGTCTTCAGACACGCCTCCGGACCCGAAGCGGGCCAGGCGCGGCGGCTCCACCCCTTGGCCCACCCGCGGATTGGGGAGAGGAGAGGAGGCGGGTGGAGCGCCGGGGGATCGGGAAAGGGAGCCGGTCATGGGGAAGGGATCAAATGCGGAGAACGATTGAGCGCCGGCTCTGCTCACGCACCCGGTAGCTGGATGGAGCAGGAACGAGAGGGGCGAGGCGAGGCTCAAGGGCCGGCCCCTTTGGGAAGAGGATGGTCCGGCAGCGAGGCAAGAAAGCCGAGGCTCCCCCCGGACTGCTAGGGCTGTTGTGAGCTGGGGGGGCGCTCCACAAGTGGCGGTCGAGGGGCATTTACAGAGGCGCCTCTGCACCTCTGGCAAAAAAAAGTGTTCTGCGACCGCTTACTTCGCGTAATGGATGAACCGCCCCTGTCAGTGTGGGAATGCAATGCTGTGCAAGGGTTGAGTCCACAGAGCAAGGATTTGATGCCTACGGCCATAACTTTGGACCGTTCCCGTTTCGTCCCACATTCCAGGGAGGAGATAACATTTTCTTCCTGCAATGTACGGAAAAGAAGAAAGATGTGTCTTGGGCTGTTCTTGTAAATAGTTTTCTGTAGCTTGTAGAAATAACTATAAATCTGAAGTGCCGCTCCGAGGCTTCAGAGCTGAATGAAGGCTGAACGCAGGGGCGGCTCAACCACTACGCACAGTAAGCGCTTGCGGTATGTTGCATGTTGTCCAGGGGTGCTCTTGAGGCGCTTCTCACACAGCGGTGGTTAGCAGAACTTCTCACTGTGGCCTTACCTAGGGCCGGCCCTGGCTGCACGCGTCTGGGGCCAAATAATCGACAGGTGTTGCCGTTCTCTGTCCGGCAGGTGTGCCTTCCCCACGCCTCCTCGTACGTCATTTCGGACGCCCTGAAGGGCCGCGCGCACACCGTCCAGCTGCGCTGCCGAGAACAGTTCAACCACGGAGCGTGGAGCGAATGGAGCCACGAAGACGTCGCCACACCTTGGACAGGTAGGCCGGAGGAGTGCCCCCCCCCCTCGGGTGCATCTAGTCCAATCCCCTCCAGCCACAAGGGGGGACACAATCCGATCCTTCTCGGCAGATGGCCAGCCTGCCTCTGTTTGGAACCCTCTAGGGAAAGGGACTCCACTGGGAGAGGGACCCCCAAAGGGCATCTAGTCCAACCCTCGCATTGTGTTGAATGGGGATCTTTCCACTTTCAGAACCCAAAGACCTGGAACTGGAAACCATGACAAATGCTTCAAAGGTACAATATTTCTTAATATTATTTGTTATTGTTTATTATTTGTTCTTATTAGTAATTATTAGTATGTGTTATTATTATTTGTTCTTATTATTTATCACCATTTTATTTATTATTTGCTATTATTATTTATCATCATTATTTATTATTTGTTATTATTTGTTTATCATTTGTTATTATTTTTTATTGGTTATCATTATTTGTTATTAGTTATTTTCATTATTAATTATGATTAGTTATTTATTATTATTAGTTATTATTATTGTTATTACTTATTATTTGTTAATTATTTGTTATTTATTAGTATTATTTATTTTTATTATTATTAGTTATTATCATTATTATTTATTTGTTAGTTATTATTATTTCTTATTATATGTTATTTATTATTATTAGTTATTAGTTACTATCATTATTCTTTGCTATTTGTTAGTTATTATTAATTTATTATTTATGTTATTTATTATTATTAGTTATTATCATTATTATTTGCTATTGGTTATTATTATTTGTTTTTATTAGTATTAATTATTATTATTTATTTTTTATTTGTTATTATTGTTATTACTTGTTATTTATTAATTCTTTATTGTTTATTAGTAATATTTATTATTATTAGTTATTACTTATTATATTATTTGCTATTAGCTAGTTATTATTTATTATTATATGTTATTTATTATTAGTTATCATTATTATTTGCTACTTCTATTATTAGTTGTCATTAATATTATTATTCATTATTTATTATTATTAGTTATTATTATTATTATTATTTATTAGTATTAGTTATTATTTGTTATTTATTATTATTGTTATTACTTGTTATCTGTTAATCCATTATTATTTATTATTATTAGTTATTAGTTATCAATATTATTTGGTATTTATTATTATATGTTATTTATTAGTATTAATTATTATTTGTTATTTATTATTATTAGTTATTATTTATTATTTATTTATTGCTATTTATTATTATTTATTATCTATCATTAGTTCTTATTCTTATTTATTCTCATTATTATTTGCTATTTATTATTATTAGTTGTTATTTATTAGTATTAATTATTATTAGTTATTTATTATTAGTTATTATTCATTATTTATTAGTATTAGTTATTATTTATTATCGATCATTAGTTCTTATTAGTTCTCATTTATTATCATTATTATTTGCTATTATTATTTATTATTATTGGTTATCTATTATTATTGTTGTCGTTGTTGTGGTCACTCCTCGGTCGCCGTTCTCCATCCTGTCCGTGTTTCCTTCCTTGCAGGCTCCAAGTGGGGACCCACTGGTCAGCTTGGTCAGCCTGGAAACGCCGCGGGAAGTGGGGGACCCCAATGGTGAGGATGTTGGGCTCTGTAGTCCTTCCTGTCGCTGTCTATGGTGCTTGCATGTCTCTTGTTCCGCCCTTGAGACTACTTAACGCTCTTTCTTTGCTTCCTTACTTTCCAGTCAAGCGATCCACGGCGCCGCTCCCTGGCTGGACGCTGCTGGCGGTCATTGCGGCCGTGGTCCTTCTGGTCTTGGTGGTCCTGTTCCTGGTGGCCTTCCGGTGAGGACTTGGACTTCGGACCGAGATGGACACAACCCTGGGCCAACTTCGGCCCTCCCTCCCTCCCTCCCGGTGTTTTGGACTGCCAACTCCCATCCTTCCTAACAGCCTACCGGCTGTTAGGAATGATGGGAGTTGGAGCCCAAAACCCTGGAGGGAGGGCCGAAGTTGGCCCAGGCCTGATTCTCATTCCTATTGTTTACATTATTATTATTGTTGTTGTTGTTATTATTATTTCAGGTGGAGGAAGCGTCCGTCCGGCGAGAGGAACGCTTTGGCCCCTTTCGCCGCGGCCGGAGCCCCCGAGTGCCCCCTGAGCGCCTCCCCGTTGCTCCCTCCGTCCCCCCAGCCCCAATTCTGCGAAAGTCCGGCCGACGGCCCTCCCGGACCGGGGCAAGGGGGTCCCTTCGACGTGGCCAATGCCCACTACTTCCTCCTGGCCAAGTAAGGCCAAGGCTCGGACCGCTCAGAACTGGACACGGGTCTGCAAAGATGCCGTTCTGTCCGGAACCGGACACGGGTCTGCACAGATGCCCTTCGGACAGAAGGGACATCCCCGTCTCTGGACAGAAGGACGACACAGCAGTCCAGAGCGGGAAGGGAGCACGAAGGCACCATCTGATCCCTCCCGACAGATGGTCATCCACCTCCAGAGACGGAAGGACACTCCGCCGGACGCCCAAGCAGACGACGGAATGAATTATATGATTTGGAAGGGACCCCCAAAGGCCATCCAGTCGGTCCACTTTTCTACCAAGTAGAAAGGCACCATTCGATCCCTCCTGACAGATGGCCATCTATGTCCAGAGAAGGAAGGACACCCAAGCAGACGACGGAATGAATTACATTATTTGGAAGGGACTCCCAAAGGCCATCCAATCTGTCCATTTTTCTAATAAGCAGGAAGGCACCATCCGATCCCTGCTGACAGATGGCCATCCACCTCCAGAGAAGGAAGGACACTCTGCTGGACGCCCAAGCAGACGACGGAATGAACTATATGATTTGGAAGGGACCCCCAAAGGCCATCCATTCTGTCCACTTTTCTACCATGCAGGAAGGCACTGTCCAATCCCTCCCGACAGATGGCCATCCACCTCCAGAGAAGGGAGGAAACTCCAATGGACTCACAAGCAGCAGTTTGGTGAATTAGCGATGGAACGAATCATACGATTCCAAAGGGCCGACAAGGACTATGTACTCCAGCAACCGCTTTCTTCCAGGCAGGAAGAAACAACCAAAGCCCTCCCGACAGATGGCCATCCAGCCTCTGCTTGGAGATCTCTAGAGAAGGAAGACGGCTCCCGAGCCGTGCTTTGTGAGCGACTGAATGAAGGGACCCCCAAAGGGCATCCAGTCCAACCTGCCCGGAATGCACAAACAGATTAAGGAATGGATGGATCCAAGCCTTCCCGACAGATGGTCAGTCGGTTTCTTCTTTGAGAACGTCAAGAGAAGCCGGGGTCACCAAACGAGGTCCAGATTGGGCAACGCGGCTGTTGCGAAACCCAGAGAGCCGTTGTTGCGAAACAACCCCAAAGCGACAACATGTTGTGTCAGGCTTGTTTTTGTTTGTCTGCAGGCTGCATCACGCTCTAGAACCCGGACCCTGCCTGCCTCTCTCAGCACTCAGGATCACACCTGGGTTCCTGAGTGCAGAGAGAGGCAGGCAGGGTCTGGGTTCTAGATCATGTTGCAGCCTTCGCGTGTATGTGTGCCTGCAGGCTGCAACACACTCTAGAACCCAGACCCTGCCTGCCTCTCTCTGCACTCAGGAACACACCTGGGTTCCTGAGTGCAGAGAGAGGCAGGCAGGGTCCGGGTTCTAGAGTGTGTTGCAGCCTTCGCGTGTGTGTGTGTGCCTGCAGGCTGCAACACGCTCTAGAACCTGAACCCTGTCTGACTCTGCACTCAGGAACCCGGGATATATATATATATATATATATATGAATGAACAGGTGCCTGCGGCCTGTTTTCCTGCGCAAGCCGCTCCCAAGTTACACACACCCGGCTGACAAATGACTCTGACTTAAGAACAGTGGGGCTGAGAAGGGAAACCCACTCTTAAAGAGCCATTCTCATTGGGAAAAGGGGTCTCGTTTGTAACTTGGGGACTGCGTACATATATATATGTGTGTGTGTGTATATACAGTGTGTATATATATCAGTCATAAATAGTAACTCATTCTCTGCTTTTTGTCCCCGTTTTGTCGAAAAAGAAACCCTCAAAGGTCATCTAGTCCTACCCCCTTTCCTTCTTCTATGGCTGGCTCTCTGTCGGGAGGGATCGGTTGGTGTCTTCCTCTGTGGCAGTGCGATATTTATCATGTATAGTTCTCACGATGGTCTAGGGGATGATGGGAGCTGTAGTCCGGAAGAGAGTGTGGATATACTATTGTGTGTTCCCCTGCCACGCGTTGCTGTGGCCCAGTCTGTGTATATGTGTTTTGTGTGTGTATATATATTTGTGCATATGTGTACATATGGGTGCTTGCGTATATATATGTGGTTTTGCACATGTGTTGTAATGTTGTGTATACATATTTGTGTATATGTGTATATGTGTGTGCTTGCGTATATATATGTGGTTTTGCACATGCATTGTAATGTTGTGTGTATGTGTATATATGTGTGCTTGCATATATATATGTGGTTTTGCACATGTGTTGTAATGTTGTGTATACATATTTGTGTATATGTGTATATATGTGTGCTTGCGTATATTTATGTGGTTTTGCACATGCGTTGTAATGTTGTGTTTATGTGTATATATGTGTGCTTGCGTATATATATATATGTGGTTTTGCACATGCGTTGTAATGTTGTGTATACATATTTGTGCATATGTGTATATATGTGTGCTTGCGTATATATATATATGTGGTTTTGCACATGCGTTGTAATGTGTGTATATATGTGTGTTTGTGTATATATGTGTGTGTGTGTATACGTGTATATATATTTGTGTATTTCTGTGTTTATATGTGTATATGTATATTGTGTATATGTGTGTGCTTGTGTATATGCATATATATGTGTGTATGTATGTGTATATGTATATGTGTGTAGGTGTATATGTATGTATGTGTGCATGTGTATATGTATACACATGCACACTTACATATATGTATACACATGCACACATGTGTATACATGTATTGTCTATATGTGTGTGTTTATATTGTGCATATGCATATGTGTGTGTTTATATGTGTGCATGCATGTGTATATGTATATGTGTGTAGGTGTATATGTATGTATGTGTGCATGTGTATATGTATACTTCTGTGTTTATATGTGTATACGTATATTGTCTATATGTGTGTGTTTGTGTATATGCATATGTGTGTGTTTATATGTGTGCATGCATGTGTATATGTATATGTGTGTAGGTGTGTATATGTGTATATTTGTGTGTGCTTGTGTATATATATGTGTGTCTGTCTGTATGTATATGTGCTTTCCTGGAGGAGGAGGAGGAACCATAATAATAATAATAATAATAATAATAATAATAATAATAATAATAATAGAAATATTACTATTAATATGGTAATAATAATAATAATAATTAGTAATAATTGGCTGGAGGAACTCTTGAGAGCATGATTTAAAAGCAATCTATTTTATGGGAGGATAGATATGTTTTTGGGGCAACTGAGAGAACACTTCTGAGGATCTGCTCCGTGTTTGGTGCATTGGCACATCTTTGTTCCTGACAGTTCAAAGAGATAGCCAGGTCTATCAGTCTAACAACCGAGAAACCGAAGTTGCCTGGCATGAATACTACTAGTGGATGTTTACCACTTAGGAGCAGGTTGTCTCAAGCGAGTTTGGACCTCTTTTCAGGAAGATCAGACATCCCAAAAGGTTTCTGTTCCTAACAGTTCAAAGAGATAGCCAGGTCTATTAGTCTAACAACCGAGAAACCAAAGTTGCCTGGATGTTTACCACTCAGGAGCAGGTTGTCTCAAGTGAGCTTGGACCTCTTCTCAGAAAGATCAGACATCCCAAAAGGTTTCTGTTCCTAACAGTTCAAAGAGATAGCCAGGTCTATCAGTCTAACAACCAAGAAACCTAAGTTGCTTTGCATGAATACTACTAGAGGATGTTTACGACTCAGGAGCAGGGTGACTCCAGCGAGTTTGGACCTCTTCTCAGGAAGGTCATATTTTTGTTCCTAGTGGTTCAAAGAGATAGCCAGGTCTATCAGTCTAACAACCAAGAAAGCTAAGTTGCAATCTCTAAAATTTCCCCATGCTCTCCAAAACTAGATGGAGTGACACTTACACTCTTTCTTCCCCTTCTCTCCGTGGGAAAGAGCACGAAGGAAGGGGAAGGGGAACGAAGACCGTTGGGCAACGTTGTGGTTGTTGTGTTTGTGGGGTTGTCGTCTGGTGTCGCAACGCCCGGCCGCCCTCCGGCCCCCAGTTCCCCTTTTTGGGGGCGACACATTGGCGTCGTTTTCCGGGCCAAGAGGAAGCGAAAGCCCTTTTTGGTGCAAGAAAGGCCACTTGGGTTCTTTCCCCAGGAGGGGGGTCATCTACACGGCGGAATGGGAGTTGTAGTTTGGCCCGCTTTGGCGGAGAAGGCTAAGGCTACCACTAAACTGCAATTGAGCCCCGGCAGCTGCAGTAGGATCAAACTGCATTAATTCCATAATATAGATGCACCAGAGAAGGCTACGGACCTTGGGAAACTACAACTCCCAGGAAACCTATAGTACTGAGCCCAGAGAAGGCTAAGGGCCTTGGGAAACTACAACTCCCATGAAACCTATAGTACTGTACCCAGAGAAGGCTAAGGGCCTTGGGAAACTACAACTCCCAGGAAACCTATAGTACTGTACCCAGAGAAGGCTAAGGGCCTTGGGAAACTACAACTCCCAGGAAACCTATAGTACTGAGCCCTGGCTATTAACAGTCATATCGAACTGCATTAATTCCATAATATAGATGCACCAGAGAAGGCTATGGATCTTGGGAAACTACAACTCCCAGGAAACCTATAGTACTGTACCCAGAGAAGGCTATGGGCCTTGGGAAACTACAACTCCCAGGAAACCTATAGTACTAAGCCCTGGCTATTAACAGTAGTATTGGACTGCATCAGTTCTATAGTCTAGATGCACCCAGAGAAGGCTATGGACCTTGGGAAACTACAACTCCTATGAAACGTATAGTACTGCACCCAGAGAAGGCTAAGGGCCTTGGGAAACTATGACTCCAAGGAAACCTATAGTACTGAGCCATGGCACTCACATCTATAATATAGATTTACCCAGAGAAGGACCTTGGGAAACTATAACTCCAAAAATCCCATCACACTGAGCCCTAGTATAGATGCACCCAGAGAAGGCTAAGGGCCTTGGGAAACTACAACTCCCAATAAACCTGCATCCATTCTAGATGTGCCCAGAGAAGGCTAAGGGCCTTGGGAAACTACGACTCCCAGGAAACCTATAGTACTGAGCCCTGGCTATTAACAGTTGTATAGAACTGCATTAATTACATAATATAGATGCACCCAGAGAAGGCTACGGACCTTGGGAAACTACAACTCCCAGGAAACTTATGGTACTGAGCCATGGCTATTAACAGTAGTATTTGACTGCATCAGTTCTATAGTATAGATGCACCCAGAGAAGACTATGGACCTTGGGAAACTACAACTCATATGAAACGTATAGTACTGTGCCCAGAGAAGTACTGTGCCCTTAGGCCATGGGAAACTGCAACTCCCAGGAAACCTATAGTACTGAGCCCTGGCTAGTAGGAGTAGTATCGAACCACAGCAATTCCATAATACAGATGCACCCAGAGAAGGACCTTGGGAAACTACAACTCCCAGGATCTCATAGCATTAAGCCCTGGGAATTTACAGTAGTATCGAAGTGCATTAATTCCATAACATAGACACACCCAGAGAAGGCTGTGGACCTTGGGAAACTACACCTCCCGTGACCCCATAGCACCGAGCCCTGGCAGTAACCGTAGTGTCGAACTGCATTCACTCTACAGCCCAGATTTCTCACAATCAGAAAAGTGCAAAATAGGCGTATCACACGTGGCCAGCGTTTCCACCAATTGAGGATGTTTTCGTTTCCATTTTGTGGGTTTTCGAGGCCGCGACAACGTTGTTTTCGGCGCATTTTCGGAACGTTTGGGGCCTATTTTTAGCCCCGAAAAGTCCCTTTTGGGGCCCGAGAGCGGCCTTTGGGTCTGTCCCTTTGCCCTCCCCGGAAAACCACAAACAGGTTGTCGCTTTTTCCGCACGTTGTTGCACTTCGCACCACTCTGGGGCCTTGGGAGTTGTAGTTCAGCCAAGGCCGGAGAGAGCTCTGGTGCTGCCCGCCCTTGCGTGCCATTGCTGCGTGCAATTACAGTGGCCTCCATGGGCACCCCCCTTCCAGAGGGGCAAGGGACCCGCTCCGGGTTTTAGTCCGAACTCTGGAGAAGGAGGAGGAAGGAGCAACTCCTTGAATGGGGTCACTGTGTCCTTTTGCGGGGCTAAAGCAAGACCCCCAAGGGGCCCCGGGAGTTGTAGTTTTGCAAAGGTCCTTGGCCGCCTCTGCCAAACTACAACTCTCAAGCTTCCTTAGCCACAAGCCTTAGCAGTTCAAGTGGTATCAAACTGCATTAACTCACCTGTGTAGATGCACCCCTGAATAGATATAGATATAGATATAGATATAGATATAGATATAGATATAGATATAGATAAATATATGGATATGAATATGAACATGGATATAAATATATATTTATGATATTTATATATATACGGATATAAATATATATTATCTTTATATATATATGGGTATAAATATATATTATATGTGTGTGTGTGTGTGTATATATATATAGGATATATATATATATAGGATATAAATATATATTCTATATATATATATGGGTATGAATATATATATATATATATATATATATATATATATAGGATATATATATAATATGGATATATGTGGATATAAATATATATTCTATTTATATATAGATATAAATATATATAATCTATATATATATAGGTATAAATATGTGGATATAAATATATATTCTATTTATATATAGATATAAATATATAATCTCTCTCTCTATATATATATAGGTATAAATATGTGTTCTATTTATATATGTGGATATGCATATATATTAGATTTATATATATTGGATATATATATATATAAATAATATGGATATATGTGGATATAAATATATATTCTATTTATATATAGGTATGAATATATATATATTATATGGATATATATATGGATATAAATATTCTACTTATATATAGATATAAATATATATAATCTATCTATATAGGTATAAATATGTCTTCTGTTTATATATATGGATATGAATATATATTAGATTTATATATATTGGATATATATATATATAATATGGATATATGTGGATATATATATATAATTTATCTATATGGGTATAAATATGTATTCTATTTATATATATGGATATAAATATATATAATATTTATATAGGATATAAAATATATTATATGTATATATATGAGTATAAATATGTATTATATATATATGGATATAATATGGATATATGTGGAGATATATATATAGATAGATAGATAGATAGATAGATAATCTATCTATATGGGTATAAATATGTATTCTGTTTATATATATGGATATAAATATATATAATATTTATATAGGATATAAAAATATATTATATGTATATATATGGGTATAAATATGTATTATATATATATGGATATATATATAGGATATATATTTATACATACATACATATATATATAGGATATATATATATAGGATATATATATATATATATATATATATATATAGGATATATATATATAGGATATATATAGGATATATATATATAATGTATTTATATTTAATGTGTATAAGTCTATATATATATATATATATATATATATATATATATATATATTAGAGATATCTTATATATATGGGGAATATATCTATAATACATATCTATATATGGGTATAAATATATATCATATATGTATATGGATTTTGGAGTATTTTCATATCCTTAATGTGATGTTTAGGGGATGGGGCGCAAGTCCCTACCCGAAACTAATGCGTTTCTATGCCATAACCTGCAGGTTATTATTATTATTTATATTATTATTATTGTACGCAGTGCTTTACAATACTGACCCCAATACTGACCCCATTACTGAAGCCCAGGTGCCACTCTCTCAGCCCCCCATGTGGACCACCTTGGAATATATTTGGGGGGATCCTGGGCATCAACAAGGGATGCTTTGCTTGGGTTTGTTTACATTTGGGAAGAGGGACTTGCAATCCTCCACATGACCACCCGGTGGCAGTGTTTCCTCACTTTCCCTTATTATATATATAGAAGCCATCAAAGCAGCTGATGGAGATTATTATTGGCAGCATTATTGGGATCCATAATTTCCTTTCCCCCTTTGCTTTGGCCTATAGGAAAAGGTAAGATTTTGCCTTCCCATTTCCCCCGAATTGATTGCAAGCCACGCAGAATTCAAAAGTTATTTAATTTTGGAGAAGTTTGTGCAACTTCCAGAGTAGTTTGCAAATTAAGCAAGGCTGGGCATTGCAAGCCATGTTCTCCTCTATATATATTTTGCAAGCCCAGGTCGTTTTTGCACCATTTCTTCCAGTCTCCTTCTCTGGAAGCTTTAAACTGAGGCAGGATGGCCATCTATCAGGAGGGATCAGATTGTGTCTTGAACTAGAGGGTGGAGGGCTTCAAAAAGAGGCTGGACAGAATCTGTTTATTCCAATTGTTTATTTTGTTTTGTTTACGTTGATATGACACACGGCATTGAATGTTTGCCATTTTGTTTCTGGAAGGAAATTTGTTGTTGTTGTTGTTGTGGTTGTTGTTGTTGTCTTTGGGGAGGCCGTCAACAAGGCTGTCCAGCGAGAGGATCCGAATTCGACCTCTGACCCTTGCATCCTTTTGCCATTTTGTTTCTGGAAGGAAAGTTTGTTGTTTGTTGTTGTTGTTGTTGTCGTCGTCGTCTTTGGGGAGGCCATAAACAAGGCTGTCCAGCGAGAAGATCCGAATTCGACCTCTGACCCTTGCATCTTCGGATAGGACGTAAGCAGCTTGGGTTGCAAGAGGCGGTGTTTGTATGGTTGTGGTTGTGGTTGTGATTGTGGTTGTTGTTGTTGTCTTTGGGGAGGCCGTCAACAAGGCTGTCCAGCGAGAAGATCCGAATTCAACCTCTGACCCTTGCATCCTGGGATGGGACGTAAGCAGCTTGGGTTGCAAGAGGCGGTGTTTGTATGGTTGTGGTTGTGGTTGTGATTGTGGTTGTTGTTGTTGTCTTTGGGGAGGCCGTCAACAAGGCTGTCCAGCGAGAAGATCCGAATTCAACCTCTGACCCTTGCATCCTGGGATGGGACGTAAGCAGCTTGGGTTGCAAGAGGCGGTGTTTGTATGGTTGTGGTTGTGGTTGTGATTGTGGTTGTTGTTGTTGTCTTTGGGGAGGCCGTCAACAAGGCTGTCCAGCGAGAAGATCCGAATTCAACCTCTGACCCTTGCATCCTGGGATGGGACGTAAGCAGCTTGGGTTGCAAGAGGCGGTGTTTGTATGGAAGGGGTCACACCTGGGGTCCCTTGGGGTCGCCTGGGGTCTCCTGATGCGGTGGCGCAGTCCGTCCACCCCGCTGGGCTAGTGTCCCTTGGCCGGGACGGGGAAGCGTAGGGTCATGTGCTCGGCCCCCTTGAAGGGCAGCTTCTCGGCCGCGTAGTGGCGCACGACCTCGGGGAGGCTGGGGAAGGAGAGCCCGGACCCCCCGTTGGGCCCCAAGGTGAAGCGGTGGCCCTTGGTCTGGCCCACCAGGATGTGCACGCAGCCCTGGCTCGTCCTGCAAGGAAGGAAGGGAGGAAGGGAGGACACTTGGGGTGGACACTGCGCAGGCACTCCCTCCCTCCACCAGGCCCTCTGCGCATGCTCAGGAGAGACACCCCCATTGATCACCCGCCCTATCATCCTCTCTCCCCAAGGGGACACGGGGCGCTTTCCACGCAAAAACATGGCCAACATGGAAGGCCACCAAGGAAAACACACAAACCCAATCCAGGCAATCATACAGCAACATTGATATAACATATAACCTCAAGGATTTCACCTTTCTCTCCTCCTCTTTCTTTCTCTTTCTCCCTTCCTTCCTCTCTTTCCCCTTTTTTCTTTCTTTCTTTCTTTCTTTCTTCCTTTCTCCCTTCTTTTATTCCTTTCTTTCTTTTGTCTCCCTTTCTTCCCTTCCCTCCCTACCCCCTTCCTTCTTCCTCCTCTCTTCTCCCTCCCTCCCTCCCTCCCTCCCCTCCCTCCCTTCCTTCCTTCCTTCCTTCCTTCCTTTCTCTCTCCTCCCTTTATTTCTTTCTTTCTCCCTTTCTACCTTCCTCCCTCCCTCTCTCCCTCCTCCCTTCCTTCCTTCCTTCCATCCATCTTTCCTTCCATCCTTCTTTTCTCTTCCTTTCTTCCACCCTTCCTTCCTTCCGTCCTTCCTTCCTCCCTTCATTTCTCTTTCTTTCTTCCTTTCTCTCTCCTCCCTTCCTTTATTTCTTTCTTTCTCCCTTTCTTCTCCTCCCTCTTTCCTCCTCCTCCCTTCCTTCTTTCCTTCTTTTCCTCTTTCCTTCCTTCCTCCCTCCCTCCCTCCCTTCCTCCCTTCCTTTTTTCCCCCCTTCTTTCCTCTTCTCCTTCTTTTTTCTTCTT